GGGGAGTCTGCAGTCAGTCCCCCACCCTCCCCGCCTCACAGCTCCAGCCCAGCAGAGTGGCGTCAGGAGCTCCAGCTGAGCAGACGCAGGCCGTGCTCAGCTCCTGCCTGTCCAGGGAGGAATGACAGAAATGCAAGGCTGGTTACTGTCCTGATGGTTATCTTCATGTGACACGGGATGTGGAATTGTGTCCCAGCCACCCAGGGAGGAAGGAGTGCCCTGTGGGAATTAGGAAGGAGGAAGCCCTCATGGAAGAGCATGTCAAACCGGGAGCTGGAGGCACTTCTCTACACAAAGGGTTGTGGGAGTATGGAACAAGCTAGCCAGCCACGATTGCCGAAGCCCATACTGTCGATTTTCTTTCACGAAAGGGAAGTAAGGGCTACTAAACTTCTCATTTGTAAGTTTCCACTTCCATTTGTAGCTGTGTTCTTTTCTTTTGCTGAATCTCAAAATTCTCTTCTAGAGGAAGAAAAAATGTCCCACTGTAATACACACCTGATGTAATCTCTCTTTTTGTCTGAAAAGAAATCTTACTAAGATTGGCAGGCTGTGTGTTTTCTTTATAGATCACAGCAGTCAAACTGTATTTAAACTTCAAGTCCCGCATTTTTGAGAGGCAAGCCAATCTTGAACGATCTTTTAATGCAATTTTAACTTTTTCATTTTACTTCTCAATGGCTCTTCAAATAGGCTATTGACTGTTCAGCTTCCAAGAGGCCTTGAGTGGGATTGTTCTGGCTGGAATGATGGCGGCTTTGCAGTTTCGCCGAAGGAGAACACTTATTGAATTAAAATCTGTTCAGTTTATCGCTCTTTATGGAGAGCTACAGAGAAGGTATACCTCCTATAAATATGAATTCTCCGACTGGAGAAACTGTGCATTGCGGTGAGCTCTAAAACAGAGTTACGCTTTGGTCTTGATACGGGCGCAGGCAGCACTTGAGAACTCTAGTTCTCATCCCAGCCCGCGGTCATGACCCCGTGCCCCCTCTCCCTGCCTTTACCTGCCTCTAGAGCGACACGCCCCCACACAGCTGCTGCTGCAGTCCAACCCCTGACCGGCCCGCAGGGGCCGGTGACGATGCTTGACCGACACATCGCAGCGGGGGAGACCGAAGGCCAGGGCTGTGCCGGGGATCGGGTTCGAGATTGTGGTTTCCCTGCGGGGTGAAAAGTCCTGTGTCCGGCCCTCACTGGTGGCCAGTGGGTAAACAGGTTTGGACTTCATTCAGGGCAGAAATCTTTGACATACCTGTAGTGTGTGATGGTGGGGCCTGTGGTCCACAGGAAATTGAGAACTCTAAATGGCCTCAGGGGAATTAAAAGGCAAGGGCAACACAAACAAAACCCCAGTGTGTTTGAGGGACAGTGTGTGTCCTGTCTGTCCCTAATGTCTCTCAGCTTTTGTCTCAGTGCAGAGTTCTGCTGATGCTGGACCGTGGCCGGTGGCTGACACTGGCAGCTGGTCCATCATCTCCGACTGTGAAGTTCTCTTCCCAGAGGAGTTAGGGAATGCGACTATCCCTGTGATTCGCCTTGAGACTTACAGGCACCTTTTAAGATGTTCTTCCCAAAGATTGACTTCCTGTCTGCTTTTAAAAGCCTGGACCGTCTCTTACATTGAGACTGACTGAGGAAGCAATGTAAGATCAGCAATATGTGGACGCAGACATACAACCTACAAGAAATAAGGCAGGGGAGGGTCAAAAGTGTGAAGATTAAATGAGGGGGACTCCATGTGCCCCCAGCACAGCGGAAAATACCTCCCCCAGTGACAATCCAGTGCTACTGTAGCAACACCCCAGTATCTATTAACACACAGTGCTTTGCAGGGTTGGCTTATTTCAATCAGCTCAATTTAAAACACTTATTTTTTCATCGTCTATCCCATAGCTTCTAAATTAAAAAAGTATGTTTTTTCTAAAAAAGGAAATATTCCAAACTTTTGTCCTGTGGGAATATGTCTACACATGGTTGTAGTGCTTTGAACAGGAGAAAGCTAAGACAGTAATCGCTGTAAACAGTGTCAGGAGATGCCCCATGCCCATACAGCAACTGATGGGAACTTAGTCAACGTTTCGTGCTTGGATTGAGCTGGGTCCTTCCCTGGAATATCAGCCTGAAACAGGGGTAACGCTCCTAGTAAATGTATTAAAAATGATTTTGCCATCACACGGTGCCTCAGGTCAGTACGAGGCAAGGCATTTCTCAGGGTGATTCTGCATACAGCAAGACTATGCTCCTGATCGGTCATTTTATTATATCAGATTCTATTATATGAATTATATCATTGTTATGTCGGGACATCGGTTGTGTTTGTCCGAAGAGATGTTTGTCAAGAGGGTTTATAAAAATCAGTACAAGGTTTAGGTACCCAGAAACAAACTTTTTCTGCATCTTATGGTGTTTTAATCATGTAGCTTTTTTATCACATCTTTTGGCTTCTGGCTTCTGTTCAGGCCTGGAATCCTTCTGCTTATTTTGTATACAGGTAGGCCAGTGCTTCCAAAGCATGCAGGTGTAGAACAGGACTTAATGCATTTTTATACAAAAATTCGTATTCTATATTCTGGTCGCTTGCAGATTAGAATGGCATATGTTTTTTGCAATAATATTATTTATGGTACCTGAAAGTTTCAGGTTGTTGCACAAAGCTAAGGTATGCGTCTACGTGATCTGACAACTGGAATCAATTTCCTGTCGTTAAACTCTGTTTATTTTTAGGTTTGTGGAGTCATGTGGAGTTTGCATGATCTCCTTACATCTGTGTGGGCTTTCTCTAGATGCCTCTGTTTCCCTCCAGAGCCTAAAGATGCGCCACCAAGGCTGGTTGGCTTCCCTGCTGTCACGATGATTATTAACACCACCCAGCCGGCTTTCACGTCAGTATTGCAGGAGAGTTCCCCGTCCTTTAAAAACCCTGAAAGCTTGTATTCCACTTGTCTTCTGTTTCACTGTTATGAATTTTGGTTAGAGGTGTGGAGTTAATGTGGCAGCACCTTTAGAAGTACAGAAATACGAGATCACCCTCAAACTAGGCCGGTTTCAGTGCAAAGGGGGGGATCACCCAAGCGTCAGAGAGGTGATCTGCTCTAGTCATGGTGTGGCTATGGGTTCTGCACATTTCTGAGGGGCAGGCAAATGGGTTACTCCACTCCGATCCCATCTTTCACGACCAATAGCCACCCTGTGGTCACTGGTTTCTAAAGGTGGGGAATACCTGTGAGTTATCGATCACCTAAGCAATAATCCATTCAATTAAGATATCTCCAATAATTGGCATCCGAGGGGCACCCAGATTTTAATCCCAATTGGTCTCTTCAGTGTCTTAATTTAAACAAATCATTTTCTTAATTGGTCACAATGAAATTGTTCCAAGTCTTTAGCAGTTGATTATTTAAGGGTGACAGAGCTGGAGCTGGAAGCTGGAACAGAGGTCCCTGGGGCCTGGATTGGACTGGACTGGATTAGGTTGGAAGGGTCTGGAGTGGGTTGAGCTGAGCTGGGCTGTATTGTAAACATTCAAGCTGTCTACATGTTGACTTGTACATTGTCCACTGTTTGTTTGTCTATTGTCTTGATGCACTGTCTGCACTTTGTGTTTTTACACTTGTTTTACAATCGAGAGACTTTCTGTAAGTAAGAATTCCATTGTACCAGTACATGTACCGGTTACATATGGCAATAAAGTTCAAGTTCTGTACTGGACTGGACTAGAGTACACTAGACTGGAGTGGGTTGGACGGATGAGGACTTGGCTGGGGTGGACAAGACTGGATTTTGACGGACTGGAGTGGACTAGAGTACACTAGACTCTAGATGACACTAGATTGGAGTGGACTGCACTGGAGTGGACCAGTCTAAACTAAAATGGACTGCATTTAAAAGGACTGGACTGGACTGTGCTTGACTGGACTAGAGTGGACTGGACCAGACTGGAGTGGACTGGGCTGGACAGGACGGGACTGGACTGGGATTGACTGGGCTGGGGGCCCCTGGTGTTGAAGGTCTGGATGGTGGTGGATGTCTTTCACTGGGCTCAGCCCCAGATGTAACCGGTTGTGTGTGCGCACTTTCAGTGACCGACTTCACCTTGAACAGGTCTTTCAGGGGCTCCTTGACTGCCTCCAAGGCCACACTAAAACACACAGAGCTGTGGAGACCGGCCGGTTCCAGGGAACGGTTTCTACACAAAAAATAAGTTTACCCTGAAATAAAATTATGTTATTAAATAATTAAATTAAATTATCCTGAAATAGTTTATCCTGAAACCCCTCTATTACTTTGTCAAAAACAAATGCTCCCTCAGTACTTGATTGATTTGCAATATTTAATTTGGGCACCCTGCACTGACCGTGATTGTGTTACCTAAACTTCGCGTGTAAACAGATTTTCATAGCGTTAGGCACAATTAAGGTCCAATTAAACCTTCCTGCCGAACTTCTGATATTGGAAAAGTAGCCATACAATCCTTATCATCTATATGAAAGAATTGTGTTGGGGTTAGGCTCTGCATGAAAGATTTAGATTAGAAGAACGACCCAAAGTTGATTTTACAGAGGGGCAATTCGGGTGCTCTGCGCTGGTGTGTGTGTGCAAGAGCTTAGCAGACGAGCCGCTTTCCCCTTCATCAGAATGACTACCCACCGCTTTTAAATATCAGATTGGATTATTAAACGGGGCAACTTGGAAACCTCCCGCTTGCCAACAAAAACATGAAACCTCCGAAAACTGCAAAACGTTTTTTTTTTATTTTATTCCCCTCCTCCTCCACAACAACATAGAAATCTCCCGGACCGGGTCCGAACCCGACCACGTCCGGCAAGGGAAGGTGAAGTTCAGTCACGATCCTGACTGTTCCCCACCCGGACTTTTGCGGCTCCCCCTCCTCCTCCTCAGCCGGCCCTTTTTTCCTCCCCCCCCCCTCCTCCTCCTCCTGCTTGATCCCTCCGCCAGGCTCTGCTACGGGAGAGGCGAGGCGAGGCCGGGCCGGGCCGCAGCGCAGCCGCGCGGAGTGATCTGGCGGAGGGACTACACCCCGCTCGCGCTGCCCGAATGTTACTCGGCGCCGCCGCGCAGCGCGAGCTCAGATCCGAGCGGGGCACGAGACGGAGCGCCGGGCTGTGGCTGCCGCTGGAGACACGCTTTCGACTTCAGACATCCTCCCCCCCAGTCCTGCGGCTCCTTCTTCTCCTCCTCCTCCTCCTCCTCCTCTTCTTCCAAACGCACCCGACACCGCAGCGAGGCGTCCAAACGCGGCCAGATCCCCCCTCAGCAGCAGCAGCAGAAGACAGCATCCTTCCCCGGCTGGGTTCTCTCTTCCCCCCTTACCTCCCGGCTCCCTCCTCCCCCAGCGCCCGTCTTCTTCCAGCGCTCCTGCCGTCTTTAACCGCCGGTCGTGTTCCAGAGGGGGAGAGATCGAGAGAGAGAGAGACGCAAGCATGTCCTGGCAGAGCTACGTGGATAATTTGATGGCTGACGGCAGCTGCCAGGACTCCGCCATCGTCGGTTACACGGACGCCAAGTACGTCTGGGCCGCGTCGGCCGGCGGGACTTTCCACAGCATGACGGTAAGGGCCCGGGAGGGGAGAGGAGGGAGGGGGGCGTCAGGGCAGCCCGGGGATCGGCCGGTCTGTCCGAGGAGCAGGCCCGGGCCGGGCGGGCCTGTTGTCCGGGGAGCCGCAGGCCGAGGCCCGGCGCTGGGGGCCCGTTAGATCTTTATTCCAGGGGAACTTCCACGGGGGGAGGAGGAGGAGGAGGGAGGGGCGACGAACGGGATAACAGCCCCCGCTGCCCTCTTTATTTCCACGCGTGGGTCGCTTCAAAACGTGCGGTGTGGGAGAGGAGGAGGAGGAGGAGGAGGAGGGGGCTTCGTCTGTTTTCTGGGTGGGGGGGATTCCCCCCCAGCACTAAAATGTACGGGTGTCTGCGACCGGCAATGCGGGAAAGGCAGTGGTGGTGCGTTGCGGGCGGGGGGGGGCCGAGAGGGAGAGAGAGAGAAGACGATGAAATCAGGCCGGCCGTCCAGATTCGGAGAAAGTTACGCCACGTTTCTGACGTAACCCGGCCGGGCGAGCGGGGCGGCTGCGGTGGGGACAGTGCGTACCGGGGCTTCGAGAATCCCGGCCGCGCCGCCGCTGCCGCCTCCTTCGTGCTGCCCAAGATGGCGCCTCCCCGCATTGGGTTCTTTTTTTTTATTCATCCCAACAGCTCGGACTCCTTGCACGGCAACTCGCCGCATTATGTCCAGCAATGCGGTGTTGGAGGTGTTTTTTTTTTTTTTTAAAAAGCTGCTGTCGTCTCGTTCGGGCGGCTTGTTTTGCAGCCGCGAAGCGTCCAGTTTGTTTGTTTTTTGGGAGGAGGAGGAGGGGGACAAAATGGGGCAGCACCTTTTGTAAGACGAGTGAGAAGGCGAGATATCCTCCATTTTGTACGGGTGGATGGAGGTTTTCTGCGGTCCGGTGCCGCCGCCGCCGCGTTTCGCCCCTGCCCGGTCGCGGCGCAACGTGTCGCGGCGGCTTTTATTTCCAGCCGGCGGTTTCCGAGCTCGGCCGCTCCTGGGGTGGGCGCTCCCACATGGCGACGGGTCCCATCTTTCCACCCCTTGGGTTTGTGGCTTGTTGACATGCAAAATGTCCCCCCCCCCCCGACCCCCACCACTCCAGGAAAAAAAAAAGCTCTAGCGCGGATTGCGGATCTGGATGCCGGTTTTAAATGATGCATGATGATCTTAAGAGTCGAGATTCTCCCCCCATCATCATCATCACCACCACCACCACCACCACCCCCCGCTCGGATCTCATGACAGCGGCCCTCAAAGTCATCGCCTTCGCCTGAGTGGCTGTGGTCGCGGGGTTTGTGCGAGTGGAGCGGACACGGAGACAGGGAGGAGGAGGAGGGAGGGGGTGATGGCCGGGCCTGCCATGACTGTGCAGTTCTACTGGAGGGCGACGCCTTCTCTCACACGGGTCGCTTTCCTCCGGCAGGGGTGGGGGTTGGGGGTGATTAAATAAAAAAACCCGGCTCGCAAACCAGCCCGCAACCTTCATATTCATTCCCCACCCACCCCCCCACGTCTGAACGCGGACGCGCAAGGAACCTTCTGGACTGCGGCCGCGGCGTGACGGCAGCCCGCAGGTCCCCGGGCCGAGTGGAGCCCACTTGCACACGGACCCCCCGTGTGACACCGCCGTGCAGGAAACCGATGCACTGCTGTCTTTTTTTTTGTGTGTGTGTGGTTTTTTTTTTTTACCGTGGAACTCCCTTTTTTTTTAGAAAAAAAAATCTCGGCAGCTTAAAAATGCCGTCGCCTGGCGTGACGTCGCCTCCCTCCAGGCGAGGCCGGTCAGTCCGGGTCGTGCGGGCTCTGGGCCGGAGGGGTCCGGCTCTGCTCTTCCAGGCACAAAGCGTGACGCCCTCGGCAGAGCAGGGCTGCCTCGCTCTGTGTGCTTTCGCTGGGCTGGGACTGCTGTGCCGCATCTCCAGACGGTTTTTTCCTGGGGGGGGGCACCTCTTTATTCTTTCTTTATTCTTTGGATGACCTGCCACTGTGGTGGGTTTCATGACGCACTAGGGGTTGCTCTTGCGAACGTGATGGGGGTGGGAAAACGATGGTGTTCTCAGCAGTTTGTCCCCTGCACTGCATTTAGAAACAGCTGATCTCTCCATGTAGAGGAGGTTTAGGTGGCATAGGATTAAATTCAGATATGACTGGGTCCGGTGAGGTTCTTCAGAATTGAATTTTTACTTGCAGGATGACGTGGAACATTGACGTGGGTGACATTTCTTAAAATGTACAAAATCTTAGTTCTTTTTTTTTTTGTACTTTCTAGCCCCAAGAAATTGATGTGATAGTTGGAAAAGACCGAGAGGGTTTCTTCACCAGCGGTCTGACCTTAGGTTCAAAGAAGTGCTCTGTGATCAGAGACAGTCTTCATGTTGAAGGGGACTGGACAATGGACATCAGGACAAAGAGTCAAGGTGGAGAGCCAACATATAATGTTTCTGTAGGCAGAGCCGGAAAAGGTAATGTACTACTTTTTATATAAAATAACTTCTTAAATTGTAGATCTAAGTTTAAAACTGACTATTCCAAAATTTCTCTGAAATGCATGACCTAGAATCTTTAAAGTCTGTGGGATGAGCAACTGTAGTAGTTTTTCCAAAATGTAATGTCATTGGTATAGTTTTAAAGATCTCTTTCCTCAATATGTATTGGGTACTAGGTGAGACTGCTTTTGAGTTTTGCTTCATCATGCTTGGCTCTTCCTAGTATGACTGAGCAAAATGTCTGATACTCCAGCATCATGTGGGTGGGGGGGTGAGACTTTCTGTATTTGGGTCCTGATCTTGGGTTTACCAGTTCGTATCTGTCTAGATCTGGATGCCAAGATCTGTAAAACGGTTTCCAGGATATTATTTCCTCAATACAAGCTTTTTATACAATTCAACAGGCTATTGGGTAGTAAACACCTTGGGACACTTATGGGCACGAAAGTGCTGATGAATCATGATTTAATAAGATCTTGAGAAGAAATGTAGCTGGGGGGAATCATTTCCTTGCTGAATCCTGGATATCCAATTCAGCATTGTGCCTTCATTTAGTATGCCTGTATGGTCCCTATTCTCCTTGACAGACTAAGGAATAGAGTGATTCTGGTTCAAACCTCAAAGACCTTTCCGTGAATTATCACTATTAAACTTCCCAAGGGAGATTCTCCCCGCCTTGTGGCAGGTGTCTCGAACCCCTTTCCTGGAGCTCCTTGTCTTCTGATGGTTGTTCCTGCATGAACACTTGACTTGGACTCAGGTTAGTTTAACAGTCAGCAGTTCTGCACTCTGTGACAGTACCTTCACTTCATTAAAGGTACATCAGAGCTAATTCAAGGCCAGATCATTGGTCTTGCATAGCTAATTAGACCCACCCAACTTGTTACATAGTCGTACAAAAACTGGGAGACACTAGGCCCACCAGGCTTTGAGGTTGAGACAACTGCTGTATGGTTTGATAGATCACTTTTCTGCTAAATGGCTCATCTTGGTGGAGGGAAATCTACTGACAGCTGCATGTTTGTGTTCTTACTCTCTAACATTTTATTTTATACCACAGCTAATTTTAATAAGACTTTGTACATCCTTTTCCCCAAATTCTGGGTATTTTTCTGATCCGGAAAATACCGTTTCTGGACACGAGCAGATCAGTTACTTGAAGACCTGGCGTTTGAAGCCCTGCTGGCTCTCCAGCACACAGGCGTGGGCGGAGCCAGGCTCATCTACTCACCTCAATATCAAAATCAGATGTATTGAGGAAAGAGATCTGAATAAGCATAATGTGTTAATTCAGTTCCATGTTGAAACTTTTTAAAAAAACATTTTTCTTCCTCTCACCTTAAATACAAGGTTTTCAAAAGACGCATTTGGTCCCCATAAGAGAAATTATAATGTTCCATTCTTGTCAATCCACCTAATTGGCATCAGTGCTGTGTGGACAAACCTAGAAAGAACACTTGCCAGCCACTTTCTCCCCCTGTACCGTTGTCATACTAATAGTGAACTAATCTCCTTTCTCCCTGGATTGTTTGCCATGCTGCTTGGTGTGGGTGAAGCAGGCCTTTTTTTAGCCAGATGAGAAAAAAGTCTTTAAAATCCAATGTGGATTGGAGATCTAGTTGGTTCTAAAAATAAATGCAAGATGCCAGACTAGAAGTCCTGCAGTCTGTAAAGAGGACTGGTAACTGCTTGCTTTGGGGGGGAAATGCTGGCCCAAAAAATCAGTGCAGTTGAGCAATCTCTGGAATTAGGAGTTCCCTCAGACTGTTCCTGCGGTTGTTTTGGGATTTTATCTCCAGAGCATTCAGTATAAGAGGACTTAGACCAGTTGAACCTCTTCTGAGTGGGCTGATTAACTCCTTTAACTGGTCTAGAGATGTTGGTGACTGGTGGCCCCAGGCCATTAAGGCTGCAGTCATCACCCTCCACCGCAGGTATAGTGGTTTACTTCTGATGCCCACCTGCTCACTGACCCCCGGCAGTGGTGGAGAGTCAGACACGGCTCAAGCTTTTGTACAACAGCCGAGCTTGCTTTTGCACTTGCAAAGCTCCGAACTCGTGATTCTGAGGGAGCCTCTCTCTCCCCGAGAGGCAGAACATAGCCTGTTCTGTCTCCACTTCGGCACGTGTTGACAAGAATGGCATTTCTCAATTCAAATAACATGGGTCACTCAGGCAAAACGTAATCTACACATGGGGGCGAGTTCAGTTTAAACATTTTATAGGAGCTTTAATTCACTTGCTCTCTGATCTGAATATTCAGCGCTGGTGATGGTGAAGAAAATGAACGCTTTATTTTTCTTTCAAAACAATATTAAACAACCTTATAACCTTGATCTAATCTTAACTTTGTGTCCTGCCAACTTTTAATTTGACAGTTTCTTTGACTTGAATACTTATTCTTCCTAACCCCTGTCACGTGCCGTTTTTCTAAACCTCTCTCTCTATCTCTTTTCTTTCAGTCTTGGTTCTTGTAATGGGAAAGGAAGGGGTCCATGGAGGAGGCTTGAACAAGAAGGCATACTCAATGGCAAAATACTTGAGGGATTCGGGGTTCTAGTTTACAGTCAGGCTCGTTGTCACGTAGTCAAATCGGGAGTAAAACAACAACAAAAAAAAAAGGAAAAACACAAAAAAACTAAAATTGCTATTAAGATTTCCCCTCTCAAGCACTCGCGTTAATGTCTTGGAAAAATTAATAGCAATGGAGGGTAATGGGGTATTTCTCCTTTGTATCCCTGTGTTAGTGGGGAAAGACTTTTTTTTTCTAGTTTTGTTCACTTTTGTTCTCTTGTTTCCTTGTGTACTCCAGCATTGGTTTTAGTCATGGGAAAGGAAGGTATCCATGGAGGGCAGCTCAACAAGAAAGCATTTACCATGGCTGAATACCTGAGGAAGTCTGGATATTAAGCAGCCTGTCCCCACCCATCTAGCAGCTCATTTTCATCACTGTTGCGTTGGCAGTGCTACCCTGCTGTAGGCGGTAGTTGCTTTTTTTTTCCCCTCCCATTTTGTTTTTTGACTCCCCTTCACTCTAATATCCTCGACTCTCCACCTCCCTTCACTTGTATGCATTAACACTGTGTAACCAATCCCATTCTGGCACTACTGTTCCCACCATAGTTAACACACGCATGTTATTACTGTGACATCGCAAAAAAAAAACCACCCAAAAAAAAACAAAAAAAAGAGAAAAAACTTAAAAGGAAAAAAAACTGGGCCGATTTATGTTAAATCTGGGCACTGCTTGGCATTAACATACAGAGGACTGTAGGTCAATGGAGGGTAGGTCAAGAGTAACTCAACAGCTGATGTTTTGTGTGAGGGTGCCGGTAGTACAATCTTGGATTGATCAATGCCTTCTGAGCAGTTACCAAGCTCATATTGTCTTCCTTTTCTGAAGCATGTCTTGGAGGGAGAACTGCATGCATATCTTCTAGTTTATTTGACTTGCTCACTCCCTGTCCCATCAAAAGCTTGGATCTTCCCTGTCCACCCCACCACACCCCCACCACCCCCATTATCTGACTTCATTCCTTGTAGGTTACACTACACCAGCACCATCACTACACCAGGGGGTCTGCTTTCCTCTGTTGTCAACCACTATACCTTTCTTGTTCCTCTTGATTCCTGCAGCTGACATGGGGGGGAGTTTCCCCCCCCGAGTTGCAGTACTTTGCCTTTGCTGTTGTACTTAGACATGGTCTTACAAGTAAATGGTTGTGTTGGATTGTTTTTGAGTGTAATGGCAAAATGCCTAAATGTTGAGGTGTGGGTACACTTGCCACCCTAGGCCCTCTTTGTCATATCCCCTATTAGGTTCCCCACGGACATTCCATCGTTACAATAGCTCAGGCACTTAAGTATTTTTGCCAGCTCCTGTAATATACTTTTTTTTTTTAGAAAACGCTGCCGTTTTGGACAGTAGCTATCCCAACATAACCATCTGGAGTATGTTCATTTTCTTTCATAGGACCAATTTCAGTTGCAGCTTGGGATTTTACAAAAAAAATTGCTCCAAGTCATTGTAAAGGGTGACTGCTCGCTTCAACCATACACAGAAATGTAAAACGCTAACTTTTTAATACACTATCAAATAAACAGTAATCTCAACGTGCTGCTGAAATCAGTGTAAGAGTTGGACACAGCAGTCTCCTCATTTGACAACCGTTCTGTTTCAAACTGTTTGAAATGAATTATTGCATTTGACCCTGTAAGCCCAGGCTGTGGAGAAAACTGTGGAATAAATTGCCTTGTGCTCTAGTTATCCAAGATGTGGAATCAAGAAACTGTCTGTCAAAGCACGGTACTAAATGTTATGTCCAACTTAATTTTAAGAAGGAAAAACCCTGAAAGTTAAACTATATACACTAAATAAATGGGAGATGGTATTGGTTGGAATAAGAAAACTTTTGGTTGTCTTGTGGAAAACTTTATACAAAATCTATGTATCCTGTGCCATAATATAGATATAATCTGTTGCTATTGTGAGATGGATTTTAACTGCTGCCCAGAAAAGTCACCCGAATGGCACTTCCTTAGGGATATTTTAGTGCAAGCTCGATGTTCAGGCCTTGTGGAATAATGTACAGATTAAACAGATCTTGTTGCTGATTTTATGTTCACTTCTTTCCCTGCACTTTTTCTTACATCTGGGGTACAGTCTAACTCATCTGATTTATTATGCATACAAATGCCATAAATTGATAAACCACCTTGTTTACAGACAGATCAAATAAATTTATTCCAACCAGATCAATTGTAGATGTTGTCTTTGTGATTTGCTTTCGTGCCGAGTGAGAAGATTCCAGAAACTTAAGTTTAAATATTGGCTAAAATCAAATGTCATTCAAAACATTCTGGAGAGAGAAAGAGCTTGGCCTTGCATTTAGACGTTTTCTCCTGCACTCTAAATCCAGCGGTTAATTGGGCTGTCAGGCTAAGGATGCTTATGTGTTAGTGAAACAAGACACCACATGCAGAGTTATGGGTTCTGTAACTGGCGACTGGAGTGCCAAATTCAGAAGCCAGTTTTAGGTATTGGTGTGGTTTTTTGGGTGGAAGTGTGTGGGGGGTGGGGCAGTCTTTTCAAACTCTTTAAACTACAGTTTGCCAGTGAAATCAGGCGATTTAATAAAGTTTAAAACCAATAACTGGGGGCTCATTACTTGGGTGGACAGTTGGGAGAACATGAACTGATATCCCTAAGGGTGGGTAAAACCCAGATTATCTTAAATTTCACTGTCAAAGAGGGGGTGCCTAGGGGATTGAGCATTCTACCTTTGGAGGTGGGTGAACTCGAGGGGCTCTTCCTGTTCTTGGAGACATCCCTTCGCTGAGCTCCTCGTTATTGCACCACGGTGACTTTTTTTCCCCATTCGTTTCTGTCTGTAGACATGGTAAAAACTTGCTTGTGGCCAAGGCCCATTCCATCACACGTCTTTATAAGGCCCTAAGAGCATATCGTTTAAAACTGAACCAGCTAAGGGGAATTTTAAAACCCTTAAGAACAGAATAGGTGTGGGGGGGGTGCTCTTGTATGATGAGTTAATGGGTCTTTTGCGGGATCTGGAAGCTTTCCATCGTATTAATCTGGTAGTGCACCGCTCGCTGGCCGCCTCTCCAGTGGATGACACTGCTTCCGTTTGAGGGCAGGAGGGAGTTCTGAAGAGGCTGGGGCTGTCAGGGCCACTGCGACCTCAGTGCTGAGAAGGGCTTGGAATAAAGCGACTAAGGTATGGAAACCTACCTTGTACAAAAGGCAATGGCGGTGGTACGACTAGTGCCCCACCTTGCCACCTTTGCTCACCTCTAATAAAGCAATAAACACGGCCGTGTCTTGCGCAGCTGATGTTCTGTAATGAACTGCAGCTTAGTGGGTTGCCAATACTGCATTGCTGGGAAATGTCCAGGAGCGAGAGAGGCAGTGTGGGTGATTGGTTCTTCCTGGTCCTGGCAAGAGTGGAAATGTGCTTCTCTCATCTATTTGAGATTGATCCCTAGATCTTAATTTAGAATGAGCTTGCTTTAGGTTCTGCAACACTGTTTTAGCGGTGTCAATCCATGCATTACCATAAAAATTGCTGTAGCTGACCATTTTGTCTAAAGTGATGTTCAAGGGTCACAGTTTTAACTTTTTAATAGTTTTAAAATGGGACTGGCTAGCCTTTGAAATTACGATTTGATGCTCACGTGCTGTAAACTTTCCATAATGTCACTTTAAAACATGATTACTTGATATGTTTTGTGTACTAAAAACATTTTATTTAGACTTTATGAAATCATTAGTTACAAATTTTTAGTTACCAGTCAAAGACGAGGTGTGGCCGAGCACTGCTTTGGTTATTGTACGGCAGTGCAGTACAGGAGCAGCTCAGAATAGTAGGAAATGTTGCAAATAACCAGTCAGGATCATCTTTAGAAAAAAACAATTTATGGAATTTAAACTTTAATTGTAATTCTAATACAGAGAGGGTGGTTGAAAGAAGCAGAGTTCACACAGGTATGGCTTACAACGAAGGCAATGGGAGAGACATTACAACATACATTGTAAAAGATGAGGCTTGATTAAAAAAAGGTATGAATACACCATTCGTCTTCACCTTCAGTCCATAAGATATTAAAAGAAAATGTGTCCAGACTCCATCTACACAGCCCATTTGCATCGGTCTTTGAATAAAGATTGTGAATGACAGGTCATTTTGTGTTTTGTGATCATTTACCAAAGACGACAAGCCAAACGGCCAAATCAACTTGCATTACAAACCAATCCTTTTTAAGGGCAGACATTTTCTTTACCACTTATCCCAATGCTTGTCATCTCAAATGGCTTTGAGATGATGCCCAAGAATCATTTAAATGCTTAAGTACCCAACCATCTCAACAGGGAGCGGCCACCATATTTCGGCTAAAAACGAACCCCTTGTCGAGTTAAGCAAGGTGTGGTTTTGTCATGTGTCTCATGAATACGAGATTATAAGAGTGTAGAAAGAGTCAGGTCCTTTGATGACTCGCGTGGAATATGGAAAAATGTACCATCACATTATTTCAGCACATACAAAACCACTGCACACGGTGGTTGATTAAGACTACGTTATGCAGTGGATCATACATGTAATGCTTGTTTTAAGTAGGAAGCTTTGGGACCTTCTGATACAGAGGCTTAAAGATATGTAGGCTAGAAGAATACATTTTATTTAAGGATTTTATTTCCTTTTCTATACAGTATATGTACATGTTTAAATTGCATCTCTTCATAAGTTATGGCAGGTGTGCAGTGTTATAAAAGTGGCATAGCATTGCGTTACTACAGACACTACAGGGCCCTCTGCGATGTGCCCTCTTCTCACAGTGAACACAGTGCCCACGCTGAACCCCTCTGACTGTCGGTCAACAGCTGGTGCACAGCCTAGCTCCCTGTGGCCTCAACAAGAGCCTGGGCTCCCAGACTTGACCTCTTCGGTACAGCTAACGCCACACCAAGCATGTCCACACACTGATGGACCCGATGCCCGACACACAAAGTCGCCATCTTCTCAGTTTAGTAAGCAGGGCTGTGAAACTCGTACAGGGTAAGAACAGGGATGTGCGTCTGAAAGGAGGTGTGGGGGGCGGCGGCGGCGCTCGCTCCGGTGGGATCATTTCGTTCGTGCTGTAAAAAACCCGTGGGTCAAGCGTTGGCGTGGTGGCTGCACGTCACGGGCTCGGGGCGGCTCTGCTGCAGCTGGACCACGATGGTCTCCACGGTGACCCGCTCCTCCTCCTCCTCCTCCGCCTCGTCGCTGCTGTCCGCGTCCTCGTCGTCCTCGTACTCGGAGGACTCCTGGCCCGGGTCGCGCTGGGACAGGGAGCCCGACATGGTGCCGAAGGAGTGGGCGCTGGTGGAGGCCGAGGAGCGGAGCAGGGGCGTGCTCTCCGACACCTCGTCGTTCTCCTCGCGGCCGCTGTCTGCCTCGTCCGTGTCCGAGTCGGAGTCCCCCATCGAGGGCACCACCTTCTGCTTGCACACCGGGCACGTCTTCTTGGTCTTGGTCAGCCAGGGGTCCACACACCTGCAGTGGTAGGCTACGCGTGCGGGGGGGAGGGAGAGAGAGAACGTCAGGGACCCGCTGCCGGGCTTGGCTTGCCCATCTCCCCCAAACAGCACAGCGCCTGCACCCCCACTGCCGCAGGGCGGCCCCACCGTCGTCAATAAGAGCGATCGGCACCAGCATGGACGACGGGGCGGCCTGCACTCCAGGCTGCTTGCCGGGTGTCGCTCTGGGAACCCTGTGTACTGCAGCTGGCTTGGCGACGCAGGAAATATGTGAGTCAGGAGGGCACATTCCCATGCTGATAACATCACGGTCACACTCGGGAGAAACCAGTTTATGGACATTGAGAAGTTAGTCGCAAAAGCAAAAACTACAAAACAATAATGATACATTATTATTTATTATTCACCATGCTAGACTTGTTAAACCTCTTCACTGGAAAAATACTAAGCATTCTGGAAGGGTCAGTTACTGACAATTTAAGCTTTAGGTGTATAAATAGGGCATTTTATGGCTTTTCAGATGGCCGTTTTTGTTACACTGTTTCTCTCCCCATTTTCCCAGAACTCGCATTTTAAAATGCTTTGAAAATCTGTTTTTTTGCTCTCTGGTATCCTACAAGGGGAGCTTTTCAAGGTTTTATCTGTGGATTTCGTCTGGATTATTTAAATTGCTGATATCCCAACTTTCTGATATTCCATCCCATCCACGCATTTTGGAAAACAGTAAACCAAAACCTCCCTCTTTAGCCTCTCTCCCATACCCAATAAAAGAAAACAAACTTCCACAACATGACAAATCTCTCTTTTTTTTGGCAATCCCGGCAAGCAATGGAGGGTACACCCTAGCACACACTCACACTCACACTCACACTCACACTCACACTCACACTCACACTCGAAGCCAATTAACCCACCAGTGTGTCTTAGGCTGTGGAAGGAAACCGAAGCGCCTGGAGGAAACCCCCATGAACCAGGGGAGAACATGCAGGCTCCACACAGACAGCCCCAGCGCGGTGCCGCCGCGCAGTTCTCCAATAACGCGTGTGTAACAGAAGAGCTGGGCGGGGGGAGAGGCGGGGGGCAGGCGGCAGACAGACGGGCGCGCGGCGCACTCACCGTGAGAGCAGGGCAGCACGCGCAGCTTGTCTCCCTCCTCGTACTCGTCCAGGCAAATGGCGCACACGTCGTAGGCATCCCCTGCAACGACAGGGGGCACGCGTTACCCCCCCGCGCCGGCCCCCGTTTGGCTCCGGACGCAGGCCAGTCAAAACATCTCGCCCGACGTCTCATTATGGTGACCAGCCACACCAGGTGTCGACAATCAGACCATAACTATACGTGCACAGTGTGTGTGTGTGTGTGTGTGCGCGTGTGTGTGTGTGTGTGTGCATGCGTGGAGGGGAGGGGGGTATGTTAGTCAAATGGACTCTAAGAGGATTAGAGCGTCTTTGTGCAATTACCTCTGTTCAGAAACAGATGGCACTGAAGAATCCAGTCTGGGAGGTTGGCTGCAAAAAGAAGCCTTCCTCCCAGAATCCACGGCCGTCTGCGTTTCGTGTCTGCAACCCCTGAACTGCGACGCGAGTTTCACCTTGGGTGACCCCCAGCTGCCCCCCTCTGGGCTGACGCGTCTCAGGGCGACGAGCTGGACGCCTGACACGCTTCTGTGATTTCAGTCACCCCGTGCGCAAGTCATCTCCGGGTGTTCCCAACACTCATATTTGAGACCTGAAGCCCCTGACTCAGGAGTGACCGGCTGGGACGCTAGCTGGAGTCGGGAGACACGCGCCACGGTGCGGGAGAGAGGCCGCGCAGGAGGGCAGGAGGGCAGGAGGGCAGGAGGGCAGGAGGGCAGGCCGGCGTCAGTTCCCTGCTGAGAAGCGGGAGGCAAGAGCTCCGCGGTGCAGAGATCCGGGAGACCCAGCGGGCCACAGAAGGGGTCACAGTGGGGAGGCGATGGGCAAAAAGGGGGTAACTGGGCAGAGGTGCGAGGGACACATTACATGGAAAGAAAGGCCCAGACAACTGACTTTCCTGAATTCCAGTTCCCAGCCGGACGGCTGGCGCAGGGTGGCTCACTGCAGTGAAACGGGAAGGGCCGCGCCGAAATGCCCTCGCGTGTGGCGTTAACCTTCGAGCTCGGGTAATGGGGGGGGAGTACTCCAGCGATGACCTCACTCTCCGGAAGAGGAGCCCGGACACGGGGACAAGCCACTGCCCTTTTCGCCTGGAAACTATTAACAAAGCCTCCGTCCTGCTCGCCTGTTGGAGAGCGAGGGAGGAGGAGGAGGGAAGTTCCCTTTTCAGGTTTTCGGTCTTTTAAAGGACTCCTGCTAGCACAGGCAAGCGCTCTGCATACTAAGCACAGGAGTTTGTGACGCGCCACTTCGGAGAGCAAACATCTCCCCTGAGCCGTTCTTTTTTTCAGGGGGGGTTGGAGGAAGGGGGAGGGCCCGAGAGGAGAGGAGTGCTCCGATGACATCCCGGTGTTTATGTAAGAAATGAGCATGTTTTTTCCCCCTGCCTCCGAGACGCTGCCAAGACTTTACGCGACCATATAAGGCAGCTTCGTAATTATTCCTCTCCGCCCTGTTCCTCACGCTGCTCTCGGCGACAGGACGGCCCCGGGGGCAAAAACAGCTTTTGCGTTTTAAAACAATAAAAAAGCTTAATGAAGTCTGGAGTTTACTAGACATCCGTAGGGATGAAGTGGCATAAATCTGAGCTGCAAAAAAACCTTCTCCTTTACCAAGCTATAACTGAACACCCTACAGGAAGAGTGAGCTCATGCGTAAGAGATTAGCGGTACATTCCTATATGACTTGCAATGCCTCCGTTTCCAACATAACCACGTTCAGCGCTCGACTTTTTCTATACCAGCAGCAAAACAAAACCTATTGTACTTCCAGCAGTTATCTGATCTGGGGAGACCGCTCAATCTCTGCATGACTAGAATTCTTGAGAAGCCAAAAGAAACAATAAGCCACCACAGCACTAAACAACAACAACAACAAAAAGAGGTGAATAGGTTTGTAGACGCATCTCATTGTTATAGTTCAGGTGGGGAGCTGCGTCAGCATGCACAGGCTGCAAAGGAACAAGTAACAGGTTTATTCCCTGCTGAAAAAAAGAAGAGAGAAAATGTTTCGGCCATGCAACAGCCGAAACGTTGTGTTTTCTTTCTTCTTTTTTTCAGCAGGGAATACATCTAATTGTTACCCCAGGACAACCTTAAAGCATTTGGGGATCCTGTTGTATAATTATGGGAGCACAGTAGGACAATAAACTATCTGCTAAAATAGTTCAGATCCTCTTTGTTCCGTTGTCTTCTCTTCTGATAACTCATATAAATGTGCATGACTGTCGTTCTCCTGCACCAGCACACGCAAAGCCTCGTCAGCTAACACACCATGAAATGAATCATCCATTAGCCAAGAAAACAAGGATTTAAAGAGAGGAAATATAGAAGTACGTAAAGCACAGAAGAAAGGAATCTTTGTTTGAGACTGGGAAATTCTGCTGCAAAACAACTTTGCATCCGACTCCTTGAAAGCCATAAACACAATTGTGTGCAGGACCCCGAGTTGCACCAGAAAGGCCTGAACTAGCTTGGATATACTGTAAGCGATATAAGTGAACTTGCACAACGTTCAGCTGCCTGGAGGTTTGCTGCGCTGTGTGTTGCCCACATCAGGACTCTGTGACTAGTGGGTGAGTAAGACCACTGAGTACAGACATGCAGCTTTGTCCTCTGCTCAGACAGGAAGTGGTGCCCAGACCAGCACACGTGGAACACTGGGAAGGGAAGATGAGGCATGTGCAGCACTGAGCCAAAATGCAAATGGCCATATTTGGAAAGCTGTTAAGTTTCTTTATTTTCCTTTTAATAACGGAAAATACAACTGCTCGAGGTTATACAAAACACAATTAAAAAAAACTTTGAAATGTTTTTCACTAACTCTTAATTCAGTGTCCTGAAAAATCTGTTGGGTGAAACTTTGTTTTCAGAAGGAAGTTCTAGTTCTATATGGGCTTGAATTTTCATCACCAAGACAAAAAAAAATGATGTGGCCCCAACTCACTCTGGCTGCTTTCCCAATCCCCTACAAAGACGAGACCAGACCCAGCTGTGAAAGGGACTGATATGGAGCTTCCGGGCCTCGTCTCTGCAGAGTGAACAAAGTGCACCTTCAGAATATGCGCCTTTGCAGACAAGCCAGATGGATTCACACAGTTTTACACCTCGATCTTCTCCAGCAGAGCGAATGCCACTCCGCCAGTGCTCCCTCCCCCCTCTGCTTCCGCTGGAGCGGCAGGGCGGCTCCAGCAGATATTATCAGCTCCCCTCCAGCCGAGCTGTACAGCCGGCCGGCGGAAAACCAGACTGAAGAAAGCTCCTCAAAAGGGAAAGAGCTCCGCTCACGGGCTGCGGGACAGTCCTGCAGCGCTGGCCAGTGCGGTGCACGTGTGAGAAAGGGCTTACGTTCTTCAAACACGGGCTGTTCTCCCTGCTGCTGGCAATGGAAAATTCAACACCGAACCGACTGAGTGACTCACACTCTACTGCTTTTAAATGTGGAAATAATCCCCCTTCACAGCTGGAGCCCCGTCGTTTAAAATCGCACAATCAGGCTTGCTGTCAAGCTGACATCATGCAAAATGACTCTCTGGTAGATCTTGTACCGCAAAAAAAAACAATACAACTGAAAATTGTAAGCTGGGAAGATCTCCTAAAACACACATCACTCAGATCCTCTTTGTTCTGTTGTCTTCGCTTTTGATAACTAAGCGTGCATGGCCGTCGTTCTCCTGCACCAGCGCACACAAAGCCTCGTCAGCGAGCGCACCATGAGCCACCGATTCTGTGCTGGACAACACTCACGTGCTTCTCGGATAAATGCCGCACAAACCGCGCCCCCCTCAGACCCGGCTCGCACACAGACCAGGGGCAGGAGTGAGAAAAACTGCCTCACCAGCGGGATCAAGGGGGCAATTCAGGAAGGTCAGCTCAAGCCCACAGCCTAATGCGGTCAGAACGGTCAGATTTGGTTCGACACGGGCTTAATCCTCTGAAAGGAACCACGACATGTGTAATGGCCAAGCACTCAGATTCTTGGCTTGATATCTTATACAATGGGTGGCACCTGGGACGACACATTGTCCTCGGTCACCACACCGGGTCAACGGTCTGGAAATTCAAGTCCAGAGGGATAGACGCCACCCTACTGGTCGACCACCACTTATATCACCAACCTGGTTTTCCTTCTCGTCTCCAAACCCAGTACTGACCAGGCCTGGCCCTGCTAGCATTGCTCAACTCCCAAGAGCTCACAAAGGAAGGCTACAGGATGGTACCACAGATCATCATCTACCAGAGACTATCCCGGTCCAAAACGCAGATAACGTTTCAAAAAGAATGCAACTGTACTCTTTATTGCAATGGAACGACTTTAACAGCAAAGTACAAGATACTTCCTTTGGCACATGTGGATTTGAATGATGGGAATGCCGTGCAAGAAAATGTCGTGCAGCAGAAAACCAATACAAAACATCAATAAAAGAAACGTCTTGGGAGCCTGGGAGGCCTTATTCGGCCGGAGTGTGTATGGGCAGTTCTGCTCTGCCCTGCTCTGTTTATTCGATGTGTGTGTGCGTGCTGCCATCACCACTGTCTGAATGGAAATGCCGGAATGTATTCTCCTGCCTCAGTGCTTCAGTGTGAGACATGAAAATCCGACATCTCCTCACGCCTACCTTTTTATTCCTGCCAGTTTCTTAATTAGCACTTGAGTGCTTCGCTGTGTAAGCAGGAGAGAAGAGAAACTGTTTAAGAATCCTCTGACATCCTCCAGGATTCTGAAAACTCAGTACGGTTCTTGTGGGGGGGGCGGGGCGGGATTAATGACTGTTTATTCCTGGAAACGTGAATTTAAATCACATTACTACGCTATTTTCTTGCCAGTGTTGATAATGCAATCTTTGAAGTTTACAAATAAAGCTTGTTACAGAAGAATGTGAAAATAACCCAGACATTAACACGCTATTAAAGAGGAAAACAAAGAGGAACAGGATTATCAGTCTACAAAGAGAAGCCAGACTGACGCTCAGGACTGGGCTTTAAACTGAAGAATAAGACAACAGTCCCTGTCATTTTAACTGCCTTGCTCACAGTCTCTGCACCTGGCTTCTGTGTTTTTTTATGTGTAAAATAAAATGTTTAATTTTGGCATGTTCATTTTTGGATAAAAGTGTGTGGTATGTGTTCATTTGTTGCAGCTGAAGTCAATTTCTGTCTTGAAATTAAGAAACCCAAGAAAGAAATCAATAATGCTTAGATGCATGCCATATTTTAATTATTTTCCCTTTTGCTGCTGTGCACTTATTAAGTCTTTTAATTGCTATCTGAGTATTTATATTTGGGGTTTCAAAGAACACAGCCCTTCTGAACGGAGGCGACTGTATTTTGATTCAATTTGACGTGATCTCATAACAGCTTGCTTATTGTGCGATAGCCACCATCAGCCAGACTGACGCAGATCATTTGTCCTTCAGGGGAGCAGCAACTTGACCAGACCTGCACTTCCATAACTGCAGGCTCTGTTAAACCAGTTAAACGTTTGGTAAATAAACAGCTCTTTTTGTGGATCACACTTGACTTTATGCGGGAATAAGTGATAATAACAAGCACACTGATGAGGAATCATGTGGTCACTGAAGAATAATCTGCTACTTGAGCAATCTTATTACTGTGGCGAGAGATATGAGCTCATGTATCTAAAATCTACAAACAGGCAGTGTGTACTGGTGACAAGCACAAGACTCATTGCCCAGTAGCCTGGTTCAGTGCAATCAATCGAAAAACATCCAGCTTCAACATGTGTTGTTTTGCCTGTAAGTGTATTGGTTGGTGCTTAATAATATTATTATTAAATTAATAATACCTAGGGGTACTCCACCTAGAACGAATTCAGAAGTTGCTCAGGAAATTGCGTATTTTTTTACTGCTGCTAAGAACGGACTGAGGAGAAACTAACCTAAATAGACTTTCAAACTGAAACTGATCTTCAGATTACAAACTACTTTACTACCAGTGATAAAGTACACCACAGCCACTCAGAAGGCATCAATCCACGAACAACCAGATATTTCAAAGTAACACTATTTTTTATTAAAGGTTTGGTCAATGCGTTTGGCGCACACACTCAGTGTTATTCCTGTCATACAAATACTCTGGATGGATTCATTTTAATTGTACTGTACAAAAAAAACAAAGACAAAACAAGAAAGACTGACAACACCCACCTTTCTTCAATAACCCCAGGTAAGAATTGAGACAAAGACTGTGGCAGCAGGCTATGGGAGTGAAGCAGATGAAAACTGTGCTTTCCAGAGCAGTTTTGGGCAGCCCAGGAGAACAGGAGACTGTCTGCTGCCAAGGCCCTCACCGGTGGCGCTCGATCACACGTGCGGCCCAGCCAGCGCTCACAAGCCAGAGTCCGCCTCAGCCTCCTGCTTCGCTCTGGGGCCGTTAGAGAGGCAGGAGTCTCCGTTACAAGCTCCGATCTGCTACAGGGGCAAGGTCAGCATGCAGAGCTGAGAGAGCAGGGCGGAGGAGGCTATTCTCTGTCACCTGACCTGGACAGGACACCCGTCTCCCCTGTCGCAGGTTTGGCCAGTTTTGTCCAGACGAACACGAACCTCGTACCAGCACGGGTTTCACTCGTGCCTGTAAGGACCCAGGCAGTGTTTTTCCTCAGTGCCACTGGACGCCAATCAGGCTCAAGGGGGTGGGGGGGCTCTCCAGCAAGCGACATCGTGTCCGGCTCCAGTGGTGCAGGGGTGCGATTCTGTGGGCTGCTTTTCCAGACACATTAATCCAATGATCTCCTTGCGGAGAGCTCCTACACATTCTTGCAGCCAGGGTCACATCACCCAGAGGGGGGAAAAAAAAAGAGAACTTTGAGCGTCTGAAAAAAACTTCATCTTCTGCGCGTTCAGCCAAAACGAGTGACGACATCATGCTGACTGCAAGCCGCACGAGAGACAACGCTGCAGAGCTGGAAGCTTTCAAAGGCTCGGAAACTCGGTGAAAAGGCGGCTCTTATCTACGGAAGCATGAGGTAAGGCACTGAAGGCTCGGATCCCTGTCCCAGGAATGGATGAAAAACCACGTGTGGGTTAGGAAGGGCGTGAAATGGTCACCGCCGTGCGCTGCGCTCTGCGCTCCACAAGCAGCTGATTGTTCTAGTTTACCCTCATCCCGGATGAACAGTACCTTCTGTATCTGTTTCGCTCACTGACAACCCAGCCTCTTCATCCGCCTTGCGCTGGGAGGCCTATTTAAAGCTCCTGACTTGTCTTCTAACCTTACGCATGGGCTCACCTTGGTTCAGATGCGTTATCTGCAACGTGTGCGTCTCTACCTGCCTGCAAAGCAAGCTTCCCGTCTGGGGCAAATAATGCAAGCAGGTTCTCCGCCACGCGACGCAACGCAAACACGAGACGCAAACACGCGATGAACAGGGGATGAACAGGGGATGAAGGCACGGCCCTGCGGCCCACAGTCCTCGGAGGACCTCCACACCAGCTGCGTCTCCCTAACTCCGCTCAGCAGGGAGGGGGGTCCTGCACAGGGCACGGGGCAGCTCCTACCTTTCCTGTACTTGTGGACCGGCAGCTTCTTCAGCTGGTCCTTCCGAAGACGGCTCCTCCTGGCCCGGTGCCTGTCCTGCACGAACTTGGTGATCTGCAAACACGAGCGGAGAAATGACCGGCCCTTACAGGGTTCGTCCAAAAAAAAAACAATCAATTCAAAGATTTTTTGGGCTGGCTGGAGCCCATCTCGGCCAGCAAAATTATACTTGAGAAGCTACGGTGAAAAGACAGGCTTTCAGAGAATCCTACGCAGGGTTCGGGCAGTGAGTCCCGCAGACACGCTGCTGCACACGAGAGGCTCTTTCACCCGCTGAGTGGAACCTGAATCAGCAGGGTTCAGATTCAGTGTTGGACTGCACTCACGCAGTGAATCCCTCAGATTACCTGGAGCTGGACTGAGCAGCACTTAATATAGGAGCGGGAGAACCCCCAGTGCCACTCTAGATGTCACTGGAAGCCCGTGCGGCTGAGAGAGGACAGGAGTTATGTGCCTGTGCACGAGCCGCGCGTGTCTGTCAATACTGTCTCTGTTAGCACCGAGAAGACGTTCCGGTGAATAAGGCGTCACAGGCAGAGGGAGAGAGGGACTCACCATAAAGACCACGATGAGTATCAGGCAGATCCCGACGATGATGAGGAAGGGGATCAGGTAGTACTCCAGCGGCAAGCTAAAGTCGGGCATGAGCACCACATGGCCGCTGGCAAACAGCAGAACAAGAGTCAATTCACTGAGACTCTTGTACGGAACAAACAGAATAACAACACAGACAAAAACAAGAAGCAGCGTCATCGAGAGCTTTCTTTCCCCCCCGTCACACTACTCTGCCCAGTCTGGAGCGCTCCACTCCTTTACAAGTCAATAAAACCCCCAACATGACTGGAAACTGCTCACCCTGGGGCTGTGCCGGTCCCTATACACCTTCGCTCCTCGCCAATGATGCCCTTTCCTGCGATGCTGAACCCCCTGGTGGTCGTGAGTTTTATCACTCTGCAACATGCTGAACTTCCTGCTATCTCTGCTATCGAAAAATTACTTCCATATGCCCTTCCAGCAAAAGGCCTCCGCTGCTTAGAAGACAGCGGGAGGCTAAAGTCTTGCACTTTTCTCACATCCTCTGCCACGTTTCTAACAATCCTGACGCAGTGCTTTTTTGGACTACAGGCCCAAAGAAAAGAGTTAGATAGTCCAGACGTATGGAATCAATAAGCTGCATAAGCACTTTTCTGTCTCAAAGAAAACACCAGTAGCTGCTCATAACGCCCCCATTTCTCGTTTTACTGAAGAGCACCCCAGAAACACAGTGTGTCAAAGACGAGCGCGAGCTAACAGCAGGGAGCCATGAAAGAATAATTTTAACAGTAAAAAAATAACACTTAACAGCTAACCAAAACTAGGAAACAAGGAGAAAAAAAAATGAAACTGCTCCTTCCTCAGAGGTGCTACTGTATGTGCAGTCTTCCAAGAGAAGCCCCAGCCCCAGCAGCCTACAGAGCAGGCCCCGCTGAAACCGCGCTCGCCTGAGTGGGACAGAAGGCTGAGAATTACCCTTTCTCATACACGTAGTCCTCCTTGAGGGACCTGGCAGTGTCTTCGCCCACGAACACCGAGGGAATGTCTATCTGCTTTAAAATGTCCACTGCGGAAAGAGAGAGAGGGAAGCAGACACGGTCAGAAGCTATGAAGCGAAATGGCAGTGAAAAGAAAAACTTTGAACTGGCTGTGAAAGGTCAAACATGACCTGCTCACAGCCTGGCCTAGCACAATTTGCACACTTCTCATCCTCCGGGTTTTCCAGGAAATACTGTTTTTTTTTTAAAAAAAAAAACTTTCCCCCTTCAATGCAGATAAACATGTCTGGAACACCTTGATCTACAGGGCCCTGTTCCTGCAGCGAAACCAGTGTATCTGTGGCTCTCCAGGGTTCCAAGGCCCACAGGGCACCAGCGGACGACAGAAACCACTAGGAGGATTGGAGGTGGGGCTGAAAGACAACCCCCTGCAGGACGGGGGAAGGCACACTCCTGCCCTCCTGCAGCAAAGGAATCGTGACCTGAACACGTACTGCACAGCACCTCCAAACAGCACCATGGGTGGATTTGAGAATCAGGGAAGAGCACCCACGACTGAACACCGTTCTGAAAGCAGCTGCAGAATCAAACATGACCTGCTCACTAAACACAAGGACAGAAATAAACTACCCTCTTAATACTGCAAACACACAACACACCGCACATGCATTGCAAAACTAAATAAATTCCGTTTTTGCTGCGCATGACAGGACATCTAAAGACACCAGAACTTGATAAGATTTCCCAATTAAGGAATCGATGGATATCTATGAAAAATCAGTTGCTGTTACCAAGGGTGGAGAGTTTTAATCAAACCTCTATGGGGGGAAAAAAGGGGTGATAAGGATGCTTTCGCATCACTGTGTTGCTGCCAAATGAGAAACAGAAACAATCACCACTGCAAAACACAGCGCTGCAGGTCTGATGCACCTGCTGAGAATACGATGTACGTCTTTGAATAAAACTCACAGTCGTTGGATCCCATGCTGATCAGGTCGTCAGAGTCCACATTGTGAACTATGGCTGCCTTGTACCCCGCCTTCTGCGCATTCAGAACCTGGGGAAACAAACCTGGGCTGAGAACCGCAGAGAAGAGCACAGAACGACACACACACCCGTCACACAGATCCAGTCATCGCCGCGCTGCGCACGACGTCCAGCTCTGTCCCTTCGGCTGTGCCCGGGGGAGGGACACGGCGCAGGACAGCGCACTGCAGGCAGCCGAAGCCGGGATGTGAGCAGGGGGCGGGAGGGAGGAGGAGCGCGGCACAGCGGCCTTCAGCCTCTCCCCCGGTGTGCGGCTCCGGCCCGGACTGTGCAGGAGTGACCGGTATTCCCTGTGCACCGGGCTGCGCATCTTCAGCGCTGATCAGCAATGCAAAGAGCGTCTTCTTTCATAATATAGCCTCATATAGCCGAGGTGAAAAGCAGAACTTTGTTCAAACGTTGTTTTTGCATCAGGACACAGCGCGACACGGGATATAAGCACAGAAACACCAGAATGCAGCTTCCCCTCCATCAGCATTCAGCTCAGAAACACTCTCTCCTGCAGCAGCACTGCTGTCTAGGAATAAACATCTATACCCGCACCAGCAGCTCAAAAGATCACAAACAGACTGAAGCACAAGCGTTTATTTCTCATTTTGTAGGCTTTTATTACCGTAACGGACATTTGCACTACCTTCAGAATAAAGCCTGTGAGAGTTTTTAAAATATCAGGCTTGTCTGTCGTCTTAGAGCTGAAAATTGAAGAACAACAGGGAGGGGAAGAGCTGCAATAGTAAAAGCAATGCCTGCGTTTAGAAAAAACGACAGTACAGAGTACTTTCAGAAGGTAGCCAGGGTAAAATCAACGCCATCTACCACTCCACTCGTGGTACAATGACAAATACACCAGTTCGATTTCTCTTTTCCTCACACTGTACCTCTGGCTACTGCATCACCACCAGAGAACACACAACAGACTCAAAAGGGTTTCAAGTGACGCCGATTCCTGACAATACAGGGAACAGGAGGGCCGTCCGGATGAGGCTATCTCCTGACAGGACACAGTGGCACAAGCCGTAGACAGGCTAGGAAGGCAGAGACAGGGTCACTCTCATCCACTCGATATACGGATCCAGTCATCACCACCTGATCCACCTGGAGCCTACACAAGCCCAGATCAGGTCGGATCAGATCAGGTTCACACCACATCCTTTTCTGGGATGCTATTCAGGAACGGTTACAAACGACAGGAGAACCTGAGGGTCCCCTCCAGCTGTTCCTAGAAGGAAGCCAGAGTGTTCGCATCAGCATGGCGGCTGGGCGGCCTGATCCTGCCCTCCCGCAGCCCTTTGGCTGGAGAGGTGCCAGCTGTTCTCAGCACTGCAATGCGCTTCCCCTTAACTCTTCACTCGGGCCCTCCGGTTCTCTCCCACTGCTCCTTCTGAAGCTCACCCCACAGCACTGGCGCCTTCGAGGGGCGCGAGTAATTGTATGAGGTCCCCTCACAGTCCCCTCTGTGCAGGGCTACAAGGGTTCAGGCCTGCAGCCTGCCAGTGCAGGGCATTAAGGACCAGAATGGATCTGGCTGCTCTCCCTAGGACTGATGCCAGAGCTATGCGTCCAGCCTGCTGCCATTTTAGTCATGCTCAGGCATGATAACGAGGTCAGGTCAAGAGCAAACAATGTGATTATTTGGGCTGTCAAGTGGCCCAGCCCTTGGAGGATGAAGCCTTTTCTCACTAAGGCAGATAGCTGTGCCTCATCATACCAGCTAGACAGACTGTGAACACACCACTTGTGCATTAGTGATCAGTAACAGTAATACGATATGGCTCCATAGATCTGGGTATATGGAGAAGGAGAGACTTGCTGTGAGACAGTTTTCTGGGCCTTGCAGTGTTTTAGAATCTAGAAGCTCCATTAGAATCAACACAATTCTGGAATCCAGAGTGCCAACGGCCACAGAAAGCAGCTGCGTGCCGCTTCTTCGTCACTGCCGCTACAGAGGACGTGCCATGCCCTTGCTGGGCCCTGTTAGCGGAAAACTACAGAAAGCACTGCGGCTTAAGTCAGGCCTCCGCAATGACGCACAAACAGCTTCAGGAGAGCCAGGGATCTGCTTCTCAACACAAAGGCCTTTGGGCTGCGGCCAGAAAATTTGGCCCAAACCTGTTGTCGTGCGTCTCTGTGCCACTTTTCAAATCTTCTGAACCAAACGTTCTGAACACTGAAAGAGTGACATCAGGAAACCAATGAAAGAAAGCACAAAGATCTGCCCGCAAATTAATCGAAGTGGACCAGAGCCCCCTGAACTCACCTAGCCACATCTCTGGCACCCAGAGGGGGTGACAGGGCTGTTTCCCGTTGCTCTGGAATCGGGAACGCACACAGGCAGGAAAACACGCATGGTTAACAACACGGAAACACCCTTCTGGCTCATCCCTCACCCACTGGGAAACCATCGTCTCTGGGTTTGGATGTTGGGCTCTTTGTGACGTCTCCTCTGTGCTAACGTGCACCTCCTCTTAAAACAACACCATTAAGAATAACGGAAGATAAGACGCAGAGTGTGCAATAGTCATACTTGGATCAGTAGCAGCTCTCGGATGCTTTGAGACTCTTGATTTTCTTCATATGGCCACAGTGCACAGCGCTCAACAACGCTCAACAACAAAGTCAATCACACCTCTGTCCAAGCCTGCAGCAGGGCTGAGAGGACGTCACCAGCGACAAGATCCGCTGTCTGCTACAGCGATCGAGGAGCTTAACAAAAACCGCAGGGCGCTTTGATGCCGAGGTACTTTATTCAAACGGGTCTGGTGGGTGAGCGGGCTCAGGGCACGACGTACGGCTCTGCTGCTTCCAGCCTCCGTCTACAAATGAGTTCCAGACCAGGGCAGCTCTCCGGAGAGCAGACCTGCACGGAAACGCTGGGCTACACATCGACAGGGAGAGATAAGCAACGTTTACAGTTGACAGTGCACAGGCACGGGACAGGGGGAGGGGCGGGCGATTTGAAAGAACAGCCGGCATGGCCAGATCTACCCTGATAAAACACCGCGACAGCTTTCCAGACTCCCACAGCCCTGCGCGGAAAAACGAGCCAAGAAACCGCCGGAACAGACACGGAAAGAGAAAAATACTGCTGTGTTTTCACATTTCACGTAAGAAGCTTGAAAAAATGAGCCGACATACAGCTGTTTTGTAACAGGAAGCCCTTTCACAGCACGTAAGCTCCACATCGGCAGCTGAAGGAGGGGGGCAGATGGGTCACTCACACACCCTAGGGCTCTCTGACACACTGTGCAGCAGCTGTGAAGGACCTCAAGGCTGACACCATGAGAGGTAAACGATGGCGGTATTTTAAGGTTACAGTTATAGGCAATATCATGCAACTGACCACTGAGAGGGGAATCAATACGCGACGGACAGGCTGCAGAGGCAGCCACGCTGCACAACTTCACACCTGTGTCGCCGACAGGCTCCACCCAGGATGTGATGTCGGGCAGAAAAGCACCGAAGGGTCGCAGGGTTTACTCTGTTCCTCTCGGTCCAGCTCAAGACACAGGTTTGACGTTGAGCTGTTTTGTTTCTGCGGAGCTGAGCGGCTCAGTCTCGTGTCACAGTCGGAAACGAGCAATTGATCATTTTGCCGTCTACATGTTCCGGCCAACAAAATGGAGTGGAAAGGTCTGATAAACGCCCTTTTCTCCCGACGCCGGCCTTAACACTGCTTCAAAGTGACCAGGGCAATACTGCTGGAAACAAAACTGTTCTCCAATGCCAACACAACAATGCACATGTGCATAAAAGTAACTGACTGGCAGGCACTGACTTCACTCGCAGAATGACAACCTTTCTCACTGGCCAAGCAGCGCGGTTACTGCCTTTATTTGAGCAGGCAGTATTTTCCATGCTGGCAAAACTCGCTTACACCCATCAAATGTTTTTAGGAACCACCGTCAGCATCGGCGAGTGATGTGAAAAGGACATTTTGATGGTGCCGCCTTCTGTCAGGATAATGAGACTGACTGCCGTGTGTGCGCACACAGCATTTAATTTGGAAAGAAGTGCAAGATGGTAATAGTCTTTACTGCCACAGTAAGACAGACACTGGGGTTTATGAATAAGTCCCACAGCATTCAGGATCCCAGGTCAGATAACCAGATCATGTTTGTCTCTGCTGTCAAGGCACTAGTTTGCATCATGAGGGTGAATTATAAACACACCCAGGAGTACTCCTGGGTGGGCACTTTGTTTAATCACGAGGCAGACAGAACTTTAAACTCTGCCAGGCCTCTGTTCCATCGCGCCACATGCTCATTCTCCCATCTTGAAATCACAAAAACACAAAAAAAGTTTCAACGGGGGTGGGGGGTGGGGTGAGAAAAGGTACCTGTTTGTGACACGCAGGTATTTCTGTGCGTAAAAGAAAAAAGTTGAGTCTCTTTTTTTTGCACCAAACTGCAGCTGCAAAATCTAACCATATGATTCCCATTACATATAATGACCCTATCAGAGGGCATGGTGAAAGTATCCATTTGTCTTCCTGTTCCCACACTAAAAAACAATTCTCATTCTACATCCCACTTAGTAGAACACCACAGATCGCTGTGAAAAGATAAGCCATTGTGACCACCCACTTCATACTTTCTACCTCGTTTCTGGACCCGAGGCCAAGCTAAATGTGAGCCTAAGCCACACGTACAAGAGACTCTGCAGAGCTTGCAGAGAGAAACTAAGACAGCTGGCCTTTTTCTGAAACATCTCGCACCAATGTCAAATTAAGCAGCAGGACTGGTTCAACCGTTAAAAAACTGGCTATTATAAACCCCAGTGTGCAAAATGTCAGCTACAGGAAATTCACTCCTGGCTTCATCGAAGAATGCTTGTAGAGGCCAAGATGAGCACATTCCAGGCATTCCGGAGACAACCAGGCCGAGCACTCCTCCTCTACAAACAGGGGAGGTCGAGGAACAAGACTGCTGTGGCCAAGAACGATCGATAATCAGCTACAATGCATTTTCAAAACAAGCAAACAAAGGAACGGTGCCTCTGTACAGGAATTCAATTACACTACTGGCATACGTTTGGAACAAGAGCTTGTCCGTGATCCACAACAAAGGCGTCGCACGTCTCCGAGTTTCGGTCCGAGAGCTACAACAGCTCATTCTTCCATTCACATACTTTTCCTCCCAAAGCTTCAGACCACAGATTTTTTGTCTCGGCTCTCCTGCCTGAAGGTTCTGGCCTGCAATGGTGTAATTTGCACAGAATCGGATCTTCGCAAATCTGATATGAAAAATCCTCTTACTGCAGTTTTATGGAGCACCATACTGTTGTGGAGAAGAGAATAATTCGACCAGCTGTTGAAATATAACCTTCTTTTCCCTTTTCCATTGCCCTCTGAAAGGTCATTTATCTGAGTGACAGGGCAGCATGATAAATATACAGCCCTGTCCCTTGATGAAGAGGAAGCAGGATAAGTGCCTCTGCAAGATGAAATGGTTTCCTCGTGAAGCGTTTTCACATGCAATTCATTGGTTCGTGACCAGCACAGCCTCTGCAGATTTCTACAGCTTCTAAAAGCAGATGTTCCTCTCCTCAAGAGCTCCCGCCTTCTCGGGCATTACAGCCAGGAAGAATCCTGAAAAGTGACGGGATTTGTAGCCCTGACCACCGGCTTTGAACTTCCGGCTGATGCTTTCCATTCCCTCCGGCGCGTTCCCGGAACAGTGGCGGAACGTACCAGATGGACCCGTCCTGTCCGATTAAGCTCCACATTCCTGTTCTCTTTCCGTCCTCGGCTTCGCTGAGGTGGGTGCAAACGGCAGAGCAGGTTGAGTCCGAAACTGCAAACACCTGGCTCTGTAGAGCTCAGAGTCTTGACTGTAGTTAAACTATTTACTCGCAGTACGGTGGTGACTTCCCGGTCACAGCAGTCTTTTGTTCTTCTGCCGAGTTTTAATCAGGCTTCACAGTAACTGCCAGGCCCAGTGTCTGTACACATAGCCAGGCATAGTTCATCTCAGCTGCCACTACTGACAGCCCTGTCAACACACCCTTGAGTTTCAAATAATTAAATGTAAGTATTGAAAACAACACACCGAATATCAGGCAGCTTTCCGATTGTCACTCGTGGGGCAAGAGCAAAATAATATTTAAGGGCTTTTAATCTAAAGCGACCTCACATGTCAACAGTTAAAGTTTTAAAAAATTATTCAGAATTTCTGGCTCTGATCAACTTGCATTACAATTACAATCATGCCTTTAAAAAGGACTGTAATCGGTTCATTATATCATTGCAACGCATGATACGTTCCCTAATTCATAATACATTGTTTCACTGTTCAATGATATTACACAAGAACATGTTCAGTACAGTCTTGCTACTTTAAATACTCAACGGTGACAAGAGATGATGGTTATAACACATCAACAAGCATAAATCTGAGCAGACACAAACAGCAGTATCTCATCCTAGGTCTTCTACTTTATTCTGGGTCTGGTGCAGACACTTAAATAGTGTGAAATGGGGAAAAAAACCCAACAAGAATCTCCAGAAATCTTCACTATCCTGTCTAAACTTTGCTCCTTTTTCAAACACAGGAGAAAATAAACGTGTGGAAATTAGATGGTGAAAAACCTGCCTGTCTTAAAATAACGGCACTCGGGCAGCAGTGTTGAGGAGTGGTTATACTCCAGACCGGAGGGTCACCAGTTCAGATCTCAAGAGGGACACAGCTGTTGTGCCCTTGGCCAAGAAAATTCTCTCCGGTAGATGTCCTGCTGTATACATGGGCCTCCAGGCTCCTTGCCAGACTCCCAGAAGGCAGTGCGGTGAGAAGAGATTGACACCAGGAAGACTGATAAAACGAATAAGCCCCAAAAATAACAATCACGTCACCACCACCACCAATAACAACAACACAGATGGCCATGAGGACGAAGGGCACGGGCAGTCTGCCCCCCCCCCACAGCTCAGGTCTTGCTGGATTAGTCCTGGGGAAGGGGCTACAGGTGGGTGTTATTGGGCCAGAGGCCGCCCATTTCTAACCAGGTACCGGATAGAACTGGGAGTCTGTCTTTCTCCCGAACTCTCATGAGAAATTCCCGATAAAAACCGCGAATTCGTCACGCTGCAAACTCACAATGCGTTCGGCAGGGCGTGGCCTGTCTGACCCCGCGGTGCTCTGGGTGGAAGCCTACGCCCGCGACCACAGGGCCCTTCGGCCTTCCTCTGGGCACCTCATGGAATTTTCCAGCGGGCCTCCAGTGCTGCTGTGCTCATGGCAGGAACAACAGCCTGCTGAACAGGAGGCAGAGTCTGGCTCTGCACAGTGCTCACAGCCAGGCCGATGTGTCCGTGTCAGCTCTGCCCTGAATCTCATCTTAACTACAATTCTGTCTCAGCGGCTCATTATTAATTTGGAAAGCCTTCAGCATGCTCAAGGAAGATGTCCTTAAACGTTATATATATTTCCCAATAAGTTACATCACAGCTCTCTATTTAATCAAGGTACTAATTCTGAATCTATGGACAAATACAAATCAAGAGTTATGAAGTGTAACAACTCGGTGAAAAAGAAACGGATGACATCTGAACTAAGCGTGCTCCGCTTAAGTGTGGTCTTATTAAAAAAAAATATTCCTGCGGTATTCTGCAGGATTATGACAACGAAGCGGCCAGCAGAAACAGCACAAAAGGCCCTTGTCAGGTCATTAATACATTACAATAAGATAAAGACAGCTACCGGTAAACGACTGGAAATAACCAGCCCCACACAAGTTATATCTCAGGGCTTTGCAAACATGAATGGTGTCAGGAGAGCCGTTATTCCTAAACCTTGTCTGGGTGGCTCTCAGTTTTCCAGGCTTTTCCTTGGTGCAAAGCAACACAGGGTTTCAAAACTTAAATGGTTATAAAAGTGCGCAGGTGGAGATTAGATAAAAATATTGAAACTACAGGGAGGGACTGTAAACTGATAAAACTGTTTGATGTTCTGGGCTGCAATTTTGCTTTGTACTGTATGTGACACATACACATGGCTCGTACCACCACTCCCTTGTCACATGGGTGGAAAGAGATCGTTTCCTAAAAGTGTCTAACATCAAATTCTCCTGCAACTGGAAAAAAAAGGCATCATAGATCAAATCTGGATGTCATTTTGGACAACGTCTTTCCTATCTTTTTCTGCCCGAGATGAAAAACGCAAGAAAGACACTGTATTTAACAAGCAAAGCCGAGTAGTTCACGTTGAAAGCTTAGGCAGAGTGAAAAATGAAAGAGTGCACTAAACAGCTTCTTTTTTATTCAGACTTCATTTAAAGCTGATGTTTTGGTTTTTTTGGCAGGATTAAAGAGCAGGAGTGAGTCATTCACATTTCATCCAGGTTCTATATCCTTTGACTGAATAATAATAGCCTATTTCAAGCTTGTTCAATCAGCAGTTCTGACTCGAGAACCGGCTGAAAGAAAGTCCCGCGCCGGACACTCGCTGGGCACCCAGCCAGCGGAGGGAGGGAGGGAGAGAGAGAGAGAAAGAGAGAGAGAGAGAGGCCGTGCCAGTTTGCATGTGGCAGCGCTGCAGCAGACAGGAAGGGGCTGATGACTTGGCCTTTCTCTCCCTAAGACTGGGGACTGTGGGCCCCCCGCCTCAGGCTGACGAAGTGTCAGGTTTCCCAGCAGTCCCTGCCCCTGCAGCTGGGGTCACAGAGGTCACACAGCTGCCACTCTGCCGGACAGCCTCAGGAGCCGCGGTCAAGGGGACAGGAGGGTCTCCGGGGGGACACCCCCTCATGATTTCAGTCCCCCGACTCTTCCCTGCCTTCCGAAGAGGAATCCTACAGCTGCCAGGCTTGAAGAAGCACATCTCAGCCGGACATCTCCCTCTCACTGATCGCGGTCCTTACACAAAACCCCACTCACTGCTGGAATTAATCTTAACTTTTCTGCGCTTCTGTAGAGAAGCAGAGAAAACATGGCAACAGCAATTCATAAAAGCTTAATAATATACACATGGATATGCTCAGATTTTACCCTGGATACGTTTGTTTGTACCGTATAGAAATATCATCAACAGATATCCTAGGGATATATTCTTATGCCCTCTATGCTGTAATTCTCTCTCTCGTTTTATTAAGATGGTAGCTTAACTCCCCTCCCTTGACAATAAAATCAGCTAGATGATTATTGAACTGAATTGATCAGAATACCATACAGTTTACTTTTTAGAAACTCTCCAGCAAGCCTTCCAGCAATTTCAATTGCTCCAACTAATGATTAGTGGCTCTGGGCCTTTGTTGTTCTTTCTTAATCCCCTGAAACTACAGGGTCTAAAGTGTCTCTCTTCAAGTAACAGTAACACTCACGCAAAAACAGATAGAATTTCCTCAATCACTCTTTCCCCCCATTCAAAGGATTTAGCGCAAATCAATCACTTCTGCGGGCGGGCAGGCGACTCCAGAGAGGGGGTTTCTGGTTTCACAGCCCCGCCCCAGTCAGTCCAGCGCCCCCGGCCCACAGGGCTCGCTCATCACTCTCACACCGCGCTGTTATGACACAAGCGGCCTGCTATGCAGGTCTTTTGTTCGAGGCAGGCTGTCTGAGAGCAGGGGCTGAGGGAAGAGCTGTCCCACATGTCCCGTTCCGTCACTCCCCGCTGAAACACGAGGCCGGCGCTCTGCCGCGTCACATACTTGAAAGGGAGTTGGATTTCAGCCCTGTCAAGGAATCACCTTCGGGATGCATGAAGGCTTTTTATGGTGTTTAATGTTCACATGCCCGTGGGAGTCTCACTCACTCACTCGCACGCACAATGCCGGCTGACCGATCCAGCAATTCGGAGTTCTGTTCTGTGCTGTTCCCCCCGTCCTGGTGAGGCCGAGAGAGAAACCTGCCAGCTAACGAGGTCCAATAACGACCCAGCAGTCGACTTAGGAAGGAACTCTCTCTCGGAACGCTTGGCCTCACTCTGCTACACATCCAGAAAGGCAACCGCCCCTGTATTTAAAAAAAATAACTGAGCTGGAGGATGATAAAAACAGCCTTTGAATATCTGAAGAGCACACTCTACAAGAATAGAACCTTTTGTGTTACAACAAAGACACCGAACACGGAAGAGAAACACATTTATGAGCTCTGCGGTCACTTGAGGCCTCTCCCCTACCTCCCAGAACCCTCGCTGGATTTGCATGCTGGCACCTGAAGCGGCGTCAGTGTCTCTGTGACGGGCCTGTTCGGGTCAACACCACGATCCCCATCTGAGCTCTGGATTCGCCACTGTCACTCAACCCCAGGCAACAGCACACAGGGCTGAGTCAATCCGAACAGACCCCCCCCACGTCCCATTCCGGGCTCGAAGGGCTGAGACCGGCCCGGAAGAGCCCGTGACATGACACGGGAGGAGAAAATCCCCAACGCAAGACTTCGCTCAAAGACAGATAAATAAAAAAAAAAGACGACGATAAAACTTGCCTTAACGTCAAAATTGCAGTCAAAGCGCTTTATCAAGACGATGAAAGCCCCGGTCAGGTTTCCCTTCACGGGAGGCGGGTCTATGGGCTCGCAGGCGTTCTCCGGTCTGGCCCCGATTAGGAAACCCTAAGGCCAGAAAAACACATCTTCCGTAAACGCGTGAATTAAGAAACAAGAGGAGGCCGTTCGGTGCATCTCTGGTAGCCTGTTTGGGGGTTAGTAGTTAAAGGACCCGGCGTCCTTCAATATACAGCTGCATGCTGACTTCAACAACGTGGCTAGGCAGCCTGTTGAAAAAAGGGCCTCCTGTTCTCAGTTTTAAATGAAATTGTTGGCCCTATACAATTTCTTGTATCAGGAATTTGTCTTTCCACATACCCCAGCTTGCTCTCCATGAGACACACAGCCAGGGAGAGAAGCTGGGGGTCAGAGCGCAGGGTCAGCCATTTATACGGCGCCCCTGGAGCAGTTGGGGTTAAGTGCTTTGCCCGGGGGCCCAACAGAGTAGGATTCCTCTGCCGGCCACGGGATACAAACCAGCAACCTTCCAGCCACAGGCGCAGATCCTGAGCCCCATAGCCAACGCATCACCCAAATGCATTTCCCCATAGTTTGCTAGAGACTTTTGGTTTGTGTGTTTAAAGGAAATTCTGTCAACCAGTCTCCCTGCTTTTCAGTTGCAAACTGCAGACCATGTGCTCGATGGGATTTTGTTACAGACCTCCTGCTTCTGCTCAGTGAATCCCAGTCATCAATCAATCTGTGATATGCAGGCATGTCAGTGCTCTCTTCAAGTGCAAGCTCGTGAATTTTTTCATCTTTTTTTATGCATTTGGTCACATATGACTGATTTCTTATTAGGGGTGATTATTTTTTGTTACTGGGGTCCACATTCTGGGAGAGAAAAAAATTAAAGCACAGCCTTTTATTACCTTCATTAACAAGCCTGATTATTATGTGAGAATTCTGAGAAACTGCTGTGTAGGATTTATTTCACAGAAATTTCATACTTTTCTATTTAAAACACCCTTGTTGTAAATGCGGAGCCAAGGTGTCTCATCTAATGTGGCATGGAGACTAAACAGTGAACCAAAAGCAGGCAGGACTCCTACCGTGATGACAGATTCCCTCAAGGTCTGACCAAACCCTGTACATGAATTAGTTTAGAACGCAAAATGAACGAATTGCACTGCTTTGTACAGACGATGCACAAAATCCAATTTAACAAACACTCTACCCAGCTAAGTTTCTGTTAACATTCAACAGATTTTTTTAGCTGTGTTTTTAAAGTTGAAGATGTAGAGACACCCACCCTCTTCGTGACTCTCCTATTTGTGATACGCACGCAGAATCCCAGTAAGACATTTATACATATTTATACAATAAAGACATGCAGGTATCTCAAATGTTTTAGCGGCAAAACACCAACACTGACTCAGTGCGCTGTAGTTACACGTCAAAACCATGTAGGAAACCAGTGGCTTCACCTCCAGGGGAGCAGAAACTGGGAGGATCCAACCTGCTTCATCTGAACATCATGTCATCTCTAAAGACCTGAAGATATGAAGGCTGGGGCTTCAGAGCTGTGCTAGGAAGTGTATTAATTCACGAGTGAGGATTCCAAAAGGCAAGCTGAGAAATACTGCTCTTAACCACCTCCTTCCAAATAAATCTGGCAAGACCATTTCACAGCTCATTTGTGATGCCACTCATCTCTTGCACTTGAGATTTCCCAATCCCTCCTCCCATCCCCAGAAATATTAAGCTTACAAAACGCTTTGAAGTGCATCGTAGTCTGCATCACTCTCGGCAATCAATTCACTGAACATCTGGCCTGACAGCGCACACTTCAAAGGGGCCCGGTCACAGTTACAGCACGTTATGACATCAGCTACATCACGTTACGCGGGCCGTCACTAACACCACAGCTGAATCTTGATCACGTCCGGAGGTGTCCCAGTATGGGCAAATATTTGGGAAACGACACAACAATAGATTCACGGGTGGTCTAAAAACCAAAACCGAAAACTTATCCATTTCTAAGAGCCATGGTATATCTAATCTATTCATCACAACATGCACAAGGTTTTGTACTTTATTTCTGGTTAGTTCCCGTCTTTCAAAGCTGTGATCAGTAGTCTCTGGGACCCCTGTGTGGTATGACTTCTCTTAGGCTTTCAGGTAGCTTTGCCATGCTTGGCAGTGAGGAAAGCTAGATGAACACACCTGGTCTGCCAGTTGCTATTGCCAGAAAAAAGGGAGTAAAATGGAGTTGGCCTTTTTTAAAATAAAAAAGCAGACTCAGGTTGCTAGTATTGGAAGTATCTTCTTTTAGTGCTCTTCAAGCTTCCCTGTCTGAACTCTGTAGGCACATGAAGCCTCAGACAAACCTTTGCTTTTAGCAGCTTCGCAGGAAAGAGAATAAACTGCAGCTCAGCTGATCGGGGGGGGCAGGATGGATTAACAGATTTGAGGTGGCAAAAATGTCCTGACCTTGGATTCATTCAGCTTGCAGGTCCGATTTAGCGAATAACCACGAGTAATATCCCGATGCAGACACCGAAGGACTGCTCTCCCAGCCAGCAGTGCGGGAAACGTCAGCTCCAGATTTTAAAACCATCCCACGCCTGGAGCTTTCTTCAGACGGGCAGGGTCCTTCTTGCTACCCTCTGCATGATAATTAACCCGCAGGTTCGGTATATTACTGTACATAAAGGGTTGCGGGAGTATGCAACAGCCTACCCAGCCATGATGTTGAAGCCGATACTCTGGCTTCTCTCAAGATCCTCCACTTAGGACAGGAGGCACTACTTTACCCTAAGAGCTGTGGGAGTATGGAGCAAGTGACCCAGACGTGTTGTTAAAGCTGGTACCCTGGATTCCTTCCAGTGATGTCTGGACGAGATCTTCAGATGGAATAGCAACTACCAAACTACGCTAGATGAACACAGTGGTATCCTCTAGAGACCGTTAAATTCTTAGACCTCTGTTTTGTTGCATTGGCTTCAATTAGCTATCTTGTAGTAAGTCCCGTCCTTTGGATGAGACGTAAAACCGAGGTCCTGACTCTCTGTGGTCATTAAAAATCCCAGGGCGTTTCTCGAAAAGAGTAGGGGTGTAACCCCGGTGTCCTGGCCAAATTTCCCATTGGCCTTAACCAATCATGGCCTCCTAATAATCCCCATCTATGAATTGGCTTCATTACTCTCTGCTCTCCTCCCCACTGATAGCTGATGTGTGGTGAGCGTTCTGGCGCACTATGGCTGCCGTCGCATCATCCAGGTGGATGCTGCACATTGGTGGTGGTGGTGGAGGGGATCCCCATTACCTGTAAAGCGCTTTGAGTGGAGTGTCCAGAAAAGCGCTATATAAGTGTAAGCAATTATTATTATTATTATTATTATTATTATACTAACAGTCTGGGCAGGGTGGGAGGTTGCTAAGGGAGAGGTGGGAACATTGTACTGTCAGTTTCATGCTGTAATTACTCGATGCTTTGTTTGAGTCTGAAAATCCAGTGTGGAAATAGGCTCATTCAAGCTACAAAGCAAAAAAAAAAGCAACTAAAATGGACACACTTCTGGTTCCAGCTAGTTGCAGTTCATCAAGGAACCAGTTAGACTTGAAAAAACAAGCCAGACCCGGCCCCCTTAACGCTACGCCCCACGCCAAAGCCACGAAGGGCCGCTTAAATAAAGACGCGGGCGAAAGACCAGCTTGGAGCTCTGCCTCCGGTTCCGAAATCGTCGGGGAAGCGAGCGCACACCCCTCACACACGGGGGAGTTCGCAAAGGAAAGGACGGGGGAGGAGGAGGCGACGTGTGGAAGAACAGAAGCTGAGAATTGCAGTGGGATTCCGGGCCTCCGAGCTCGGCGCGGGAGCGACCGCCGGAGGGGCTGAGGAGGGTGCCACGTCTCGCTCACCGGGGAAGCGACAGAGGAGACAAAAACCCCAGGCACTGCAGAAGATGTCCCTGGTGTTTTACGACCTGGAGTGCAGGCCGGGGGAGAGCTCACAGCCACTGGACTGCAGGAATAACCCAGTTCTGGGGTGGAGCGGTCACTGGACTCCACAGCACACGGACCAGACAAGAAATAACTTTGTTACTGCTATAACAGTGGTGTCATGAGCCCAGCAATTAATGCCTGAGAAATATATTTTACAGGCTCTTAACTGAGCCCTGGGAGGGTCTGTGAATCCAAGCGCGTCCTGCATTCTGCTCTTCAGTAACAGATGTATTCAGCCCAGCAATAAAATAAACCTGCCCCCGATTATTTTCTTCATGCATGTTCATCTAAATCTATACTGCACTGGCAGGATGCACTTCACTCCAGGGGACTCATTCAGAAAGGGGCTTTCACGCTTTTCCCCCCACAAAGAGCTGCTGTGCAACAGGACTTTAAGGCCTCAGTGTGCAAATATTTCTTCCCTCGGCTGCTCTTGCCTGGCTGTCTTCTTCCAAGGTGCTGCTTCAGAAGCTGCAATGGCGCCCTCTGTTGGCAAAAGAGCACCTCAGCAACACCGCACATATAAACCATATAAATCTATGATAATATATCTTTTGAAACCTTATTTTTAACTTAGTTGCTGAGGAAGTTGTCTCATTTACCCTTGTACAGTGAGAAAACTTTCACTGGGGCTTTCCATTAAAGAAGGCCTTTCAGTAAAACAGGTTCAGTAACCGAACTGTGATTACAGTCACGTTTCCAGAGTGTGCACCTCAACCTGTAATAACAGGATCTATAATCCAAGAGATGCCTCGTTGCTTAATCCGGAGGATTTTGTTTACACAACCATGTGTCCCAGTACACGGCTAAAGCCAGAGACTCATCAACTGATCTGAAGCCCCACAGGCATGAACAGATTCAATCGGAGCTCTTGTTTTGTTCTGGAACAGAAGGTGTTCGTTTTCTAACAGTGGTGGGTTAACAATAACATCCCCTGTGTTAAGAATCTTGTTCTTTGTTTGCTTTTTGATGGCCACAACGTATTTTTAGGCAAAACGTACACAAAAAAGGGAAAAGGTTAAAGGTTCAGAGCTAAGGTCAAAGGTTCCACATGTAGGAGCCCTCCTATCCTTCAACAGATGGGTTTCTGGGGAGCTGGATGACCCAGAAGCCACATCGATAGGTTGGGGGGGGGTTGCAACTGCTGAAGGGCACAGGCTGTCCACTGTGTTGCCGGGTGACAGACTCACAGATTCAAATTCAGAAAGCTTTATTGGCATGGCCGAGGAATTGCAGTGATACCAAAGCAGCGATAAAGTTTTAAAAACAGTTGGCTATCATAGTAGCATGCTATTATTGGAGAGGCCCACGGCTCGTTCCTCAGGCTGGCCTGGGATCGGAGAGCTACACAACACTGGGCTGCAGCTCAGTTGAGTCTGCTTCCCCTGTAGGACTGGAAGCGGATTCTGGCAGGAATGGGAATTCTGGGAAGCGACTGGTCATTTCGGGGACGATCTGGAGTATCTGTTGGAGCCCAGCAGGAAATCTCTGCCTTTAGAGGGTCGAACGGAGACTTTGAATGAGGATGCTGATGAAGGGGCTGACAAGACAAAAGAACTGACGTGCCTAGGGAACCTCGACCCCTGACCAGAACTTCAGTGGTGGCTAGGTGGTCTTCTCAGGTATGAGCAGCGGGACGGAGAAGCAAAGCAGGAAGCAGGAATTGATGCTGCTGGTGAAATCTATGTCCACAAAGCAAAACACCATTTTGGGTTTTCTTTTGCATTTCCCAATTAATACATTCACCACGCAGCACAGCGTTTACAGCGCAGAGAGTCATGTGTTTGAACATACAGCCGGTACAGACGTTGGACCCACGCACTGCTCTGCAACTTTAAGAACCCACAGCATGAGCCTCCACAGATTGGCCCATTTATCTCATTGTCTTCTGCACAGTAAACAGAAGCCAAATCCTTTCCTAGAGTTCACAGACTGAACTCTAACAACCTAAACTTCTTTAGACTCTGCTGAGCCATGTCCCAGTAACGTCTTCGAGAAGCAGCTTCAAGGAATGAAAGTTTTCCTCGTTCAGAGAAATCATGCAGGTTGGAAGAGCCGCAGGCATGGATACGTCACATGGCTTCAAGGCCGAGGGAGTCGGAGAGGTTTTCAGCAGCTCCTCGAGGGAGTCACGCAAGTCATGAAAGACGTCCTCTCCTCTTTGAGTTGGTCTTAAGTAATGCTCTCCGCTCAACTTTAAACTCATTCGGTACAGGCTAAGAAATTTAAACCTTAACACAAAACAATTTTACTTTAGCTAAGCGCTATACCATCCCCATCCCTCAAACCACAAGTGCTATGGTTAGCCCATAAAACGAGCTACACAATTTAACTGCCTCTGTGTTCAGTAATTCGACAAAATCTTCTCAAGCAGAAGTCACCACTTAAGCAGTAAACAGACTTGTTCTATATTAAACGATTTAACCACGCTAGTCACAAGAGTGACCTTTAAATGAACTCCAGCCTCCTTCCTTATCAACAAAATGTGAATGTTTTGCAGCCTAGATGCTCAAAAGCCATCCTTTCTGTACTGTTCACATACGAAAGACCCAAGAGCCGGGAGAACTGGAGTTTTTTCAGCTTCAAATCTGTTTGTTTCTGATCAACGCGTTGTACTAGAACACACCTGTAATTGGAATAAACCCGCCTCTCGCTCCTCCTCTCTCCCAGCTTTTGTTCTCCTGCTACATTACCTTTGCCCACTGCCCTGTCTTTCTCACACCTGAAGAAGGCTCCACGGCCGAAACGTTGTGTTTTCTGTCTTCTCTTTCCAGCAGGGAATAAACCCATTACTTGTTCCTTTGCAGCCTACGCATGCTGATGCAGCTGCCCACCTGGACTACCACACCTGTAGTTACCCTTTACCATTCATTTACAAAGCAACGCTTGGGGGCTGTTTCAATTACTTTCCGGTCCGACAGGGATCGTTAATATTTTGTAGATGAAAGTCCGATCGGGGGTGAGCCCCTGCAGGAGGTCGTCTCTATAACTCCATCGCAGGAGTGACTGGGAGGTCAGTGCGGTCTGAGGGGCGGCTGGTCTCCTCACCTTTAACCCCTCACTGGGGAGTCTGTATCCAAATCTCGCCGGCAAGTCATCGAAATTCTGGCTCTTGTTGTCGAAAGAATACTGAAATACAAAACGCAACTTAACACAACGTTACTGCTTTGTGCGTGTCATCTCGAAAGGGTTGCATAAAACAGTTTACTACTTGCATTTAAAGGGGAACTGCAGTCCCAATTTTCTGAGAGCTGTTATTACATCTCGCTAACAAAATAAATTCATTGACTTTTACAAATTTCAAATTTGTGAAATTCCTGCAAGTCGCCATGTTGTCACCGACCCCTGGTATCACCAAGGGCAAGAGCAAGAGTCCAATTCAATTCATTTTTATAGCACCTTTCCCAACAAGGTTGCCCCAAGGCGCTTAACAAAGCAGGTGACCATACATGTTGTAAATACAGAACAGAAAAGACCAGCAGACAACAGAGGAGAGGAACCAAAAACTCCTTTAGGAAGGAGAAAAAAAACCTCTAGGGGTCCAAGGTCAACTTCGTCTTTCCCGGTCTCCGATTCCCATCCGTCGCCAATGCCTGGTAAAACGAGGAAATCTTGGAAAATTAACCGGACTTACCGCGGAGATGTCAGCCTCCACTGGCAGCAGGTTGAGGAAGGCGAACAGCTGCACAGTGAAGATGGTGTAGATCTGGGTGGCAGACAGCATCAGCATCCCCAGGGACAGCAGCATCTTTCATTACAGCAGAAGCACCTGCCAGGGAAACATGGAAGGTCACCCGGCCGGCTCACACCACACCGGCCACAAGCCTGGAGGAACGACACAGGCCGGCTCACGCTGCAGTGGAAACGGTCCAGAGACCAGCACCCGGATTCACCGTGGGGCTTAAGGTGGGCCCAGTCCCACACCGACAGGCTAAAGGAACTGCATCGTTCCAGTCTTGAACAGAGCTGACTCTAGGGGTACCCAGCACAAGTACCCCAAAATTCTGAAAAGGCACCGACAAGGTCAGCGCAGCCGAGGTCCTCAAAACCAGAAGAGAAACAGGGATGGGAGGACACAGCGGGGAACCACATGGGAAGTGCACTTCTTTACACAAAGGGTGGTGGGAGTCTGGAACAGGCCGCCCTGGTTTTTTTAAAGAAATGGCTGCATGAGATGCGCTGATCACTAAAATACTAAATATCAAACTGTCTAGGCGGACCAGCGACCTCCTCTTGCCTGTAACTAAGATCACTTTTTTGGGCCATATACCATTTCTTTTCGCATACCCCAGCTTGCTCTCCATGAGACACACAGGCACACAGACGGGAAGAGAGAAGCCTGGGGGTCAGAGCGCAGGGTCAGCCATTTATATGGCGTCCCTGGAGCAGCTGGGGTTAAGGGCCTTGCACAGGGGCCCCAACGGAGTACGATTCCTCTGCTGGCCGCGGGATTCGAACCGGCAACCTTCCAGCCACAGGCGCAGATCCTGAGCCCCTGAGCCACCGACCTGCCCTGTAACTGTCCTTATGCTCTTGACACCTTTCTGCAGGATTACACTTCCAAACTGAGGGGCGAACTCACCATTACCGTGTCTCAGGTCTCGCAGGCTACGAGCGTCTGGGGGAACAGGTGCCTGCAGGTCTCTGAAGCAGCACTCCTCCCCCCACACACACACTCCCTGACACCCCAAGCCCGGAGAAAAAAAAGCCACCCTGTTTTTAAAGAGCAGGAGGCCTGACACACAAGGTTTCAGAGACCGTTTAAACACCAGGTAGCAGCTCCCGGCCCTGCGGACTTCAGTCCCCACCCTGTCCCACACTCTGGTGCCAAGCCTCACAAGATGAAAGCAAAGCGCAGAGCCATTAAAAACCAGCCCGACCGCTTTCACAGGGAGGCGCGTGTGTGTGTGTGTGTGTGTGTGTGGAGTAAAATGAATATCGTACAAGTGTGCCACAGTGGTCAGGGCTTCTGGGCTCATAACTGGAAGGTTGTGGGTTCGAATGCTAGGTGAGACACTTCTGCTGTACACTTGAGCAAGGCACCTGAGCTGAACAGCTCCGGTAATAATACCCAGCTGTATAAAAGGGAGTAGAAGACTCTGCCAAATATATTCGCAGCTAAAGTGTTCACACAGCTGCCACCTCTCCTTAAGACAAGTAAACACAGCAAAAAGACAGATAATCAAAGGAGTGGTACTTGTAGTTAAACTGATTAATAATTATTAACTACAATAGGAGTGCCTGCCATATTAGAGCATCAACGCTTAAATATTGGAAACAGAATACATTATTGGAAACAAAGAGTTAAAATACAATCCAATATTATTTATTAGGAGCAGTAGCTCCTAAACCTAACACTTTGCTTTGCGAAATGCATAATACAAATGTGTCTGGTAAGGTCAGTAAGGCAGCCTTCCTGGGGAAGGGACATATACATGAACAGATCAACAGATCCCTAAGAGAAGATAAATACAGCGAGACAGTAAGTAAGCACAGGTGGGACAGAAGCTGGAGGCGGAAGAAAATTGGACAGTGATGGTGCTCCCCTTTCAGAGGACTTGAGACCAGATTCTGTCCAGGTAACGGGTAAGGAACAGCCCTCATCACAAAGGCAGCTTCTGTCTTGCATACCTGCGGAAACTCTGACTGCCTGTGCTATTATGGCATCTGCAGGCAAGAGTCCCAGCATGGTCAGTGATGCGGTTTGGAACGGGGAGATAGATTCACATAGCACCCACTTATAGAGAGACATCTAGTCCTGAGCAGGATCCTTAATGTTTAACAGGACACACGTTCCCTCTTTCCCACTGGAGGTGCTTTGCATGTAGATGACAAGGATAGAAATATGTATTTTTAATCTGCCTGTAGAAAGCAGGGCTCCTGAATGCAGAGGCTAGTAAAGATCTGTTTATAGCTGTAATTGTGGCATGTGGCGTGGTTGTGTTATTTACTGTTATAAACGCTTGTCCGTCTTTGCGAGTGCAGCCTGGTCAATACTCCATTATCAAGTTATGCTGGAGAATAAAGACCTTTACATGTGGTGTAATTGCTCAATATTGCCTGACTACAGGAAGTGGAATTATTCATCATCTTTATAATTTGTTTGTGCTGCAAGCTGGTATCAGGACCTGATGGTGGTTTGATAACTCCTTATTCTACAATTATAACTCCTTAAACCAATACAATAATACAATAATAAACCAATACAGCATCTCTCATTTTAATACCAATGCACCACTGGAGTTTCAGTCAATTCACCACATAGTGCAAGATATTAAAATAATAAATCTGGTCGCTAATGGGGTTATCAAAACTGTAATGTAATTTTACATCATGATTTAAATTCTATTCTTGTAACTGTATATTAAGCATTTAGTACTTTTTAATTGCTTTTTTATGTGGGACCCTACATTGTCTAGATGACAAACACAAAAACCTAGTCTTTTTCTTAAATGTTGCCATGGCCAATATGAACCCAAATAAGCAACTTCCAAAAAAACAAACAAACGGAAAAAACGCAGCCTCGACAATCAGAAACTCTGAGACTTTGGGGGTAAAAAACAAGCCTAGTTCCACTTATTACAAGTGGACTGGCCACACACGATGTGCTTGTAAAACGCATGCGCCCATCTGTGAGCAGAGTCTGTCTCGACACTCGAGAAAGAGGAGAGGAGTGCACAGTAAAAACCTGCAGAGCGACACAAACCAGTGAAGAGATTCCAGACTGACAGTGCCCCCCACCCTCTTCCGACACGGAACTCGGGTCCGAAAGACAAAACAGCCCGGCCAGCGACCTTTCTTCAATGACTCCATTTTAAATCTAAAGTACTAGCACAAGTGGAACCGCAGAGCGTCGACTCTTCTCCTTGCTGTACAAGACGACGCAGACAGGGGACTCACTTGGTCAGAGAGAAGGGCACGTGAATTCTCCAGGCTGGGAGCTGGGAATATGCGTCTATTTTGGAAGTCCCATTTTTAAACACCTTTTATGCCATGGACAGGGAACATGGTGTCAGAGAACTCCCAGACCTTGTGATACATGCGATGAAAACGTCCAAACTTTTTACAAACAAATTTCTTATCTTGCCAACAGGCAGCAGGTTATAGAAAAAGCCCAAATCGAGGGCATTTAGCACCGCAGGTCACATTCCTGTCTCATTTGCCTGAAAGCCTTTTAGCTCCAACACTGTTTCCGTTTCAGGCAGGTTAAAAGTGTTTTAAACGCAGTGCTAGAAATCCAGATGCCCTGCTTGGAACACTGTGTGTGTGTTTTGGACAGTCCCGGGGAAAACTTACTTTTAAAAAGTAATATATTGCAATTACAAGCTGCTTGCAGAACAGATTATACTTTTCCAAATGAACAAAGTGTAAAGTAATAATTTTCCAGGAATGTACTTCTCGCACATTTTGCACAGTAACTATACTCAATCGATACTGTAGCTGATTAACATTTAGAATAATTTCCTCCCCCCCAGCTTCAAGTTTTTTAAAGAAATCCCATGCACAATTAATGTTCACAGTAATTGTAATGGGTTACTCATCTTGAATATTTTTACAAACAAAAGTTCTACCACAATCGATGTTTGTGATGTGGTTTGCAGATGTACTGAACTAAACCAGCGTGTAAAGAGTTAAGTCGAAACTGCTGTGGCAAATCAGCTTAGTCAGAAAAATATGATTGCGGCTTACATAATAAATCAGGTGGTTGTAATTAGGCGTGTTTGATTTTCTGTGGGTAACTGAAGTAAACACGCACGTGCAAGTTTTAACTGGGCAATGACCGATGTGCTGCACTTCAATAGGACATAAGTATTTTTTAAACAAGTCAGACTGGTCATAGTCTTATCAGAGCTTGTGTACATGATGAAAATAATAATGGCTTACACTTATATAGCGCTTTTCTGGACACTCCACTCAAAGCACTGTACAGATCATGGGGATCCCCTCCACCACCACCAGTGTGCAGCCCCACCTGGACGATGCTCCAGTCCTCTCCCCACACACCAGCTCTCAGTGGGGAGGAGAGCAGAGTGATGGAGCCAGTTCAGAGAGGGGGTTAGGAGGCCACGACTGGTAAAGGCCAGGGGAAATCTGGCCAGGACACACCGGGGTAACACTCCTATTCTTTTCGGGAAACACCCTGGGATTGTTAATGACCATAGAGATCTCGGTTTTACGCCTCATACGAAGGACGGCACCTTTTTACAGTATAGTGTCCCTGGGGCACTATACTGGGGCATTAGGACCCACACCGACCACAGGGTGGGTGCCCCCTACTGGCCCCAAAATAAAAAGAAATTACTTATGGTACATTTTGCACAGTTCACTACACGAAATCTATCACAGCTCTCGGTTTGAAATGCACTTCCACACCGTTCCACACAGGTCACAGGTCAGCTCAACATCTGGACTCCCCCGTACAGCTGTGCGCGGTCAGCCCGCGAGGCACGCCCCCCTCTCGCACCCGGCGCTTGCTAAGTGCTTCACACCAACCCAGCCGCCTGCGAAAGAGCCCACCGAGACCCCCCGTCGTCTAACCGTCCCCCGGCCTTGTAACACCGCCGTCCCGTCATCGCCTCACGCACCGCTACTCCGCCGCATTCCTGACGCATCTTAAGCACCGCGCTACCTCGCTTATTGCATGGGAGGATTAACAGTAAAAACAGCTATAAAAAAAAAACCCCAAGGGCCGGCTCACGCCGGTTGCAACAGTTTCTAAACTGCACTTGTGCACCTGCATCCCGACAGAGGGTCACCTAGACGCTGAAGTACCGTCCGCTGCGCCGCAATTCAACAGGTTCAGGAGATCACCACCTCCTGAACGCTAGATACCTCACTTCAGAGCTCCACAGTCTTTCACACGCCGGGCAGAAACCGAGCCAGGTCTTCCTCTCCCTGCAGAACACCGAACAACATGTGTGCAGTGCGACCAGGCCAGCTAGTTATGCAGGCACCCGTGTGGAGCACAGGAAACCGGGCTTCTGCGGAAAACACGTTCAAACCAGTTCTGCGCTGATGTCGTTCCTCTGGTGTCGTGATCTCCACGCAACTTGCTTTTTTTTAAACAAAAGGGTCCTTTCACCGCTGCGCGCGAAAGCACTTTCATCTACCGTAAGCAGAACATTGCCATGCAAAAAAAAAAACTGGAGAAAGGGCAATAAACAGTTGAATAACGGGGATTAATAACCGAGCGTGTTTATGCAACTTCTGCAGCGTGAGAGCGTACCGTGCCCCGCGAGCGAAGGTC